CCTTTCCCACAGACCCCAGACAGTAGGGCAAGGGCAGATGAAGTCTGGAGTTGAGTATCATGACCATGAGGGCCCCTTTCAGACCCCAATGAAGCTAAAGACAAGATTCATCTGGTGGAGTGCTTACCTGCCTGGCATGCGCAGAACCCTAAGTTCTACCTCCAACAGGAGAAAAACGGGCACGATATGGGCACACCTGTCACCCTGCATATGGGAGAGCAGAGAGGGGGATCTGTAGGAGTTATATAACAAGTTCAAGGCCCAGCCTGGGCTAAAGGAAACCCCATTCAATAAAGGGAGCAGCTTTCAGACAGGTACAGTAGGGCCCGTCCACTCTCATTACTAACCATCTGGAGTCAACTCATCCCAAAGATGCTGTGCCTCTTCGTCTTCAAGGGTAGGATGAATGGATAAAAAAATGTTTCCTGTGGGCCAATGGAATTGAATTGATGACCCTGACATAAATGAACCCTTGATGTTGGACAAAGAAGTCAAAATAAAACAATGGGGAAAAGTGCATCTTCAACAAATGGTGCTGACAGAACTGTATGTTGACATATAAAAGAATGCAAATAGATATATATCTATTGCCATGAACAAAACTCAAGTCCAAGTAGATCAAAGACCTCACATAAATCCAGTTACACCAAATCTAATAGAAGAAAAAGTGGGAAGTAGCCTTGAATGCATGGGCTAAGGAGACCACTTCCTAAATATAACTCTAGTACCACAGACACTGAGAGCAACATTCAATAAGTAAAACCTCTTGAAACTGAAAAGCTTCTGTAAGGCAAAGAGCATGGTCAATAAAACAAAACAGCAGCCTACAAGAATAGGAAAAGATCTTCACCAAACCCACATCTGACAGAGAGCTGATCTCCAAAATATATAAGGAACTCAAGAAACTAGACATCAAAATAACAAATAATCCAATTTTAAAATGGGGGTATAAACATCTTACACCTGTAAGAAATGCCAAGATCAAAAACACTGATGACAACTTATGCTGGAGAGGTTGTAGGGTAAAGGGAACACTCCTGAATTGCTGGTGGGAGTGCAAACTGGTACAGCCCCTTTGGATGTCAGTGTGGCGATTTCTCAGAAAATTAGGAAACAACCTACCTCAAGACCCAGTAATACCACTTTTGGGCATATATCCAAAGGATGCTCAATCATATCACAAGGACATGTGCTCAACTATGTTCATAACAGCATTGTTTGTCATAGCCAGAACCTGCAAACAACCTGCATGCCCCTCAACCAAAGAATGGATAAGGAAAATGTGGTACATTTACACAACGGAGTACTACACAGCAGAAAAAATAATGACATCTTGAAATTTCCAGGCAAATGAATGGATCTAGAAAACATCATACTGAGTGAGGTAATCTGTTACAGGGAGCAGGGCCCACTGTTCTGGCCACCCAGTAGTTTACACCCGAAATAATCACACAGAAACTGTATTAATTAAAACACTGCTTGGCCATTAGCTTTAGCCTTTTATTAGATAACTCTCACATCTTGATTTAACCCATATCTATTAATCTGTGTTCACCATGAGGTCTTGGCTTACTGGGAAAGATTTAGCATATCTGACCTGGCATCTCCATGGCAGCTTTCTGACTCTGCTTTCTTCCTCCCAGAATTCAGTTCTGTTTCCCCGCCTACCTAAGTTCTGGCCTATCACCAGGCCCAAAGCAGTTTCTTTATTAACCAATGAATGCAACACAAATACAGAAGGACCTCCCACACCAGTAACCCAGACCTAGAAAGACAAATGCCATATGTACTAAATCATAAGTGGCTTTTAGACATAAAGCAAAGGAAAACCAGCCTACAATTCACAATCCCAGAGAACATAGATAACAAAAAGGACCCTAAGAGAGACATACATGAATCTAATCTACATGGAAAGTAGAAAAAGACAAGATCTCATGAGTAAATTGGGAGCATGGGGAACATAGGAGAAGGTAGAAGGGGTGGGAAGAGGAAGGGAGGGGAGTGGAGAAAAAGATACAGCTTAATAAAAACAATTAAAAACTAAAAAAACAAAAATGGGGTACAGATCTAAAGAGACAATTCACAGCAGAAGAATCTCAAATGCTGAAACACACTGAAGGAATTGTTTAACATTCTTAGTCATTAGGGAAATGCAAATCAAAATGACTCTGAGATACCTGTCAAAATGACTAAGACAAAAAAAAAAACTAATGAAAGCTTATGTTGGAGAGGATGTGGAGTAAAGGGAACACTCCTCCACTGCTGCTGGGAGTGCAAACATGTATAGTCTCTTTGAAAAACACCATGGTGTGTTCTCAGAATACTGGGAATCAATCTACCTCAAGGCCCAGCTATACTGCTCTTGGGCATATACCCAAAGGTTGCTCAATCATACCACAAGGACAGCATTATTCATAATAGCCACAACCTGGAAACAACTTAGATGTCTCTGAACTGAAGAATAGATAGATAAGATATGGTTCTTCTACATAATGGAGCATTACAATTCTGTAAAAAAAAAACAATGACATCATCAAATTGAGAGGTAAAAAAAATCATCCTGAGTGAGGTAACCAAAACTCAGAGAGACAACATTGCATGTGCTCACTCACAAGTAGTTATTAGATGAAAAAGCAAAAGGTAACCAGGCTACAATCCACAACCCCAGGGAAACTAAGGAACAATGAGGACCCTAAGAGAGACACAAGGAATGCCCTATAAAGGGGAAGTAGATGAGATCTCCTGGGTAAACTGGGAGCAGAGGGGAAAGGAGGGCATGAAGGAATGTGACGGGCACTTTGGGGAAAGAGATGGGGGAAACAATGAAGCAAATATCCTGATAGAGGAAGCCATTATAGGGTTAGGGAAAAACCTGGTGCTAGGGAAATTGCCAAGAATCCACAAGGATGACCACAGCTAAGATTCTTAGCAACAGTGGAGAGGGTGCCTGAACTGGCCTTCTCCTGTAATCAGATGATTAGATGACTACTCTAATTGTCATGTAGAACCTGCATCCAGTAACTGCTGGAAGGAGATACAGAGATCCATAGACAAACACTGGGCACGGCTCTGGGAGTCCAATCAAAGAGAGGGAGGAGGGATCACATGAGCAAGGGGGGGTCAAGATCATGATGGGGAAAACCACAGAGACAGATGAACAAAGCTCACGAGACTTCAGGGACTCCGGACCAACTGCTGCGGAGCCTGCAGGGGACAGAACTAGACCTTCTGCATGTGGCTGACAGTTGTGTGGCTTGGTCTGTTCATGGGATCCCTGGCAGTGGGAGCAGGATCTGGCATTTTGGAGCCCATTCTCAATGGTGGAATGCCTTGCTCAGTCTTGATGAAGAAGAAGGGAGCTTGTTCCTATCTAAACTTGATGGGCCAGGCTTAGCTGAGTCTCCTTGTGAAGTCTTGCCTTTTCTGGGAGTAGCTGGGGATGGAGTGGGAGTTAGGAAAGGAGGGAGTGGGAACTGTGGTTGGTGTGTAAAATGATTAAAAATCTAAAATAAAAAAGTGAGTCCATGTGCAGCTCGCAGTGAGGCCGTGAGAGTTTGTGCCTGGCTCAGGACAAGGGATCAGAGGACCATGGGGACTGTGAGGAAGGCAGAGAAAGCAGACATGACAGAGGGCAGCTGCACAGTCACCTCAGGGAGCATAGAGAAGGCAATCAATGCCAGGAAATCTAAGGGAATGGAAGTCACCTCTGCCCATGTCACTCCAGGAGAATGATGCCACTTCCTCTGGTACAACCACATCTTCCTGCCCTTCACGGAAATGATGACACCTTGTCATGGGGAAGGGTGAGATGACCCTCCATAGAACCATCCCTGTGGCCACCACAGCTTCTGCCCCCACCTCTCATGAATTCATTCTTATTAAGGACTAGTTGTATCCACTCTCCGAGATGTCCCAGGTGATATGTCATGAGTGGCAGACTTATTACTACTCTGAGCCTTCCTTGTCCACTTTGTTCAAAGAAGGTTCTAGAACAGCCACAGCTAGAGGAAGTCACTCAAATGCTCTGTGAGAACAGCTTCCCGGGAGCCCAGCAGCAGATCCATGGCCTTTGAGGGGAGTTCAGAGGCTGCACCGAGCAGGAAGTCAGTGTGGAGAGTGAGAGTAGGAGAAGTCAGTGGGACTGAAGTCCAGTCACCTGCCGTGTGCCAGTCATGTGACATGTGCCAGGGCTTCTCTGATCCTTGGTTTTCTCTTCTGAGTGTGTGTTAAGGTTGGTAAAAGGCAGGAAGGCTCCTTCAGAAAGAGGAGTAGCTCTGGAGTGGAGAAAGAAAATCACACAGGCAGCCCAGGGAAATTACAGATTCACAGCAGTGATTAGCTCAGGCGAGACTGTTCACTGGGCGTTGTTTTAGCTGGGGTGCTATGAAGAGTAGCCAAAAGACAGGAAGAGGGCAAAGAGTAGATGAGGGTGGAGTCATCATGCTAGGGCTGGGGACTGAATGTGTTTCTTCATCACTTCCTTCCTCATGGTGTCTGAAATGATTAGAAGATGACCACTTCTTTATCTGAGAATACAAGAGAGAGAGGAAGACAGACACACAGACAACCAACATGATGGGGGACGTAATGTGAAACAGACTGAGGGGATGGCAGGAGTAGAGGAAATTACGGAGCTGAGGAAACAGTGATTACAGGCTGCGTATGAAATGGAAAAGAATGGATAAGAAAGAGGTCAAGGTGGAAGAGAGGAGAGCCCGGCATGCAGAGGTCAAGGCTGCATCTTCCAGCTAAAAATGGGAGCTGGGCTCAAGGCACAGTCATCTTCTCAGTAACTACAAGGGTGGATCTTCTGCAACATGGAAATGAGGAGGCCAGAATGATAAAGGAAGTTGCTGATCTCAAGGAGGTGGAGATAGGGAGGTCCTGCCCACACTCAGTCCTCTACATACAGACCAGGGGATGGGAATCATTTTTGCCCTGATTGTTTCTTGACTCCTGACCACCCCAGGGACCCTCCAGAGGACCTGTTCTCCCATCTGATGGCTCTGCTGGTCTCACTTCCTGGAGAGAACCAGGCCATGTTTTGGATCCTATTTCTGTTGCTGCCAACATTGTGCCTGCAAGCTGGTGAGTGGAGGGACCTTGCAAGCAGGGACTCTACCTTAACCAGAGGAGGGGCCAGTGAGGCTGGGAAGAGTGGGCTGTCACATGGATAAGTGTCTAGAGGAGCCACACTATCCTCTGTGCCCCACGAGAGAGCTCATCCTAAGAGTGGATCTTACCCAGCCTTTCCCTGTCTTTCTTGTCCTATATGGGACAGTGAGACATGGGGACAGTCTTACCCTATGTCACATAGCTGTCTGTGGATGACAACTCAGGAAGCTCTGGGTTGTCCTCTCCATGTCTGCAGAGACTTAAGATTTCCCCATCCTTCCCAGGGAACTCAGCAGGATCCAACAGAGGAAATACCTTTGGTGTCAACCAACCAGCACGCCTCTCTGGTGTCCAGGGTGAGTCCATCGAGATCCCCTTCTCCTTCTACTTCCCCTGGGAGTTGGCAAAGGATCCACAGATGAGGATTCTCTGGAGATGGAAGCACTTCCATGGGGAATTGATCTACAACTCCTCCTCGGGTTTCATCCATGAACATTTCAAGGACCGGCTCATCCTGAACTGGACACAGCCTCAGACATCCGGAGTCCTCAGAATCCTGGACTTGAAGGAGCAGGACCAGACAGTGTACTTCTGCCGAGTTCATCTGAAAACAAAAAGAAAATTCATGGAGATTATGCAGTCTATTCATGGGAGCAATATCACTGTCACTCATGGTGAGCCGCCCTGCCTGTAGCTTTGATTTTCTTGTACCCTAGATGTCACCTCAGACTTCAGTATTCTGACCTTGGTTTCATATTCTTTTTCTTAGTTCTGCCCAGAACTCTGTGAACAGGATCTTTCCACTGTGGTTGTGACAAGTCTTTGCTGTCTCCTCTGAGTTGTCTGTCATCCTCTGCTCAGATGGAACCCCACCACACTCTAGATCTCAGCATGAGGCCTTCCCTCTAGTTCACCCCCTTTCTGTCCCAAACTAACACTTCAGTCCAGGTCATTTTCCCTTTTCCTGAGATCTCGAGGTGGATTGACTTTTCCAGGATATAGCTGACTCACTTGGTCCTGTGTCAGGGCTCCAGTTAGTCCCTGTATGGAGCATCAACACATAGCTCCAACCTAAGCCCAGAACAAGCAGTTGGTGCCCACTGGATGTTCTTGGTGTCCTACAACCCAACTGTAAACTGCCATCTGTCACCACAGCCCCATATATCCTGTCCTAGCTCCCCAGGACACATCCCTCACCTTTCCCTACCCACTCCCTTGTCTCTTTGCCATTTCCCAGCCCCCCACACCCCTTCCTTGCCTTCCTGTCCTCACCTCTTCCACACAAGCCCCAAGGGTCTTAGAAACTAATGCCCCCATTTTCATGTTTTAGCTGCTGTGTCTTCTGATCCTTGCCTCTCCTCTGAAGCAGAAGTAACTGCAGACCCAGCCCTGGGAACACTGAGTGGAACTCTATGTTGCTGTTACCCCTGCGACCCTTTAAATGACCCTGTAGGAGCTGGGGATTCTGGGGACACTGTGTGCTTCGTTGTTGACCACAACCTTGTTCTATGTCTCATTTTTGAATATATTATGGTGTTTTGATTTTTATAAGACAGGGTCTCACCATGTAGCTCTGGTTGTTCTGGAAGTCACAGAAGAAATCTGCCTACCTCTGTCTCCCAAGTGCTGAGATCAAGGCCTGTGCTACCATATCCAGAAGTGGGTGTTGACTAAATTAAAGCCAACCTGTGAGAGGACGCCCACAACACAGCTCTTGTGCAGTCTCTACAGCTGCCATGTTGACCTGATGTAATGTCTAACCACAGCTGCCAGGGCTCAGGGGTGGAAGAGAAAGGAGAGGCTTCTTGGGTTTAGCGCAGTGATTCTCAATCTTCCTAATGCGGAGACCCTTTAATACAGTTCCTCATGTTGTGATGACTTTCCCACCATAAAATTATTTTAATTTCTACTTCATACTGATAATCATGCTACTGCTGTGAATCATACTGTAAATATCTGATTGCATGTTATCTTATATTCTACCACTGTGGGGGTAGCAAACCCCGGGTTGGGAACTGTTGGTCTAGTGTTTCCAAATAGATAAAAGTGGACATTGACCTTAGTGGGGATTGCTGAGCAGATGAATGTATGCTGCCCTGTACTGAGCTGGACACCTATGATCAAAATTCTATATTTTGTGTTATACATTTCGTGTATTTTTTGTGTGTGATCATATGGGTCTGTTCATTTAGGTGTCTGTGTGTGTATCTATAGGTGTATAAGCATTGACAATCCTTTTTATTGATATTTATTGAGCTCTACATTTTTCTCTGCTCCCCTCCCTGCCTATCCCTTCCCCTCTTCAACCCTCCCCCAAGGTCCCCATGCTTCCAATTTACTCAGGAGATCCTGTCTTTTTCTACTTCCCATGTAGATTAGATCTATGTAAGTCTCTCTTATTGTCCTCATTGTTGTCTAAGTTCTCTGGGATTGTGGTTTGTAGGTTGGCTTTCTTTACTTTATGTTTTAAAACCACCTATGAGTGAGTACATGTGATAATTGTCTTTCTGTGTCTGTGTTACCTCACTCAAAATAATATTTTCTAGCTCCATCCATTTTCCTGCAAAATTCAAGATGTCATCATTTTTTTCTGCTGTATAGTACTCCTATAAATGTACCACATTTTCCTTATCCATTCTTTGGTCAAGGGGCATTTAGGTTGTTTCCAGGTTTTGGCTATGACAAACAAAGCTGCTATGAACATAGTTGAGCACATGTCCTTGTGGCATGATTGAGCATCCTTTGGATATATACCCAAAAGTGGTATTACCAGGTCTTGAGGAAGGTTTGTTTTCTAATTTTCTGAGAAATCACCACACTGACATCTAAAGGGGTTGTACCACCTTGCATTCCCACCAGCAATGCAGAAGTGTTCCCTTTTCCCCACAACCTCTCCAGCATAAGTTGTCATCAGTGTTTTTGAACTTGGCCTTTCTTACAGGTGTAAGATGGAATCTAAGAGTTGTTTTGATTTGCATTTCTCTAATGGCTAAGGATGTTGAACATTTCCTTAAGTGTCTTTTAGCCATTTTAGATTCCTCTTTTGAGAGTTCTCTGTTTAGGTCTGTACTCCATTTTTGTTATTGGATTATGTGTTCTTTTGATATCCAATTTCTTGAGTTCTTTGTATATTTTGGAGACCACACCTCTGTGGGGTTAGTGAAGATTTTTCTCATTCTGTAGGCTGTCATTTTGTCTTGTTGACAGTCTCCTTTGCTTTACAGAAGCTTTTCAGTTTCAGGAGGTTCCATTTATTAATTGTTTCAGTGTCTGTGCTGCTGGGGTTCTATTTAGGAAGTGGTTCCCTTCACCAAGGCCAGCTGGCCCGGGTCTGAAAAAGCATGGGATAAAACCTGACTCGCTGAACGTAGCGGACAATGAGGACTACTGAGAACTCAAGAACAACGGCAATGGGTTTTTGATCCTACTGCATGTACTGGCTTTGTGGGAGCCTAGGCAGTTCGGATGCCCACCTTACTAGACCTGGATGGAGGTGGGTGGTCCTTGGACTTCCCACAGGGCAGGGAACCCTGATTGCTCTTTGGGCTGATGAGGGAGGAGGACTTGACCGGGGGAGGGGGAGGGAAATGGGAGGTGGTGGTGGGGAGAAGGCAGAAATCTTTAATAAGTAATTAATAAAAAAAGAAAGATTAAAAAAAATAAAGGTGCATTGAAAAGTTCCATGTCAGCACAATAAACCATGGTTTCACTGAAAAAAAAAAAAGGAAGTGGTTCCCTGTGCCAATGGGTTCAAGTGTACTTCCCATTTTCTCTTCTATAAGGTTCAGTGTGGCTGGCTTTATGTTGAGATTTTTGATCCATTTGGACTTGAGTATTGTGCATGGTGATAGATATGGTACTATTTTCATTGTTAAACATGTTGATATCCAGTTATGCCAGAACCACTTGTTAAATAAGCTTTCTTTTTTTTCCATTTGATATTTTTTGCTTCCTTATCAAAAAACAGGTGTTCGAAGATGTGTGGATTGATATCCGGGTCTTCTATTTGGTTACATTGGTACTCCTGTCTGTTCCTATGCCAATACCAGGCTGTTTTCAGTACTGTAACTCTGTAGTGGAGTTTGAAGTAAGGGATTGTGTTGCCTCCAGAAGTTCTTTTACTGTACAGGATTATTTTGGATATCCTGGGGTTTTTTTTTGTTGTTGTTTTTCCATATGATGTTGAGGTCATTGAAGAATTTTGCTGGGATTTTGATGGGCATTGCATTGAATCTATAGATTGCTTTTGGTAAGATTTCCATTTTTACCATGTTAATTCTACCTACCCAAGAGCATGGGAGATTTTTCCTTTTTCTGGAGTCTTCTTCAATTTCTTTATTCAAAAATTTAAAGTTCTTGTCATATAAGTCTTCCACTTGTTTGGTTAGAGTTACTCTGAGATATGCTATAGTATTCCGTGGCCATTATGAAGGGCGTTAATTCTCTGATTTCTTCCCCAGTCCTTTTATATTCTGTGTACAGGAGGGCTACTGATTTTTTTAGTTAATCTTGTATCCTGCTACATTGCTGAAAGTGTTTATGAGTTGTAGAAGTTCCTTGGTTGAATTTTTGGAGTTGCTTTCGTAAACTATCATATCATCAGCAAACAGTGAGAGTTTGACTTCCTTTTTCCCAATTTGTATCCCTTTGATCTGCTTTTTGTGTCTTATTGTTCTAGCTGGGACCTCAAGAACTATATCAAATAGATATGGAAAGAGTGGACAGCCTTGTCTTGTTCCTGATTTCAGTGGAATTGCTGACAGTTTTTCTCCATTTAGTTTGATGTTGGCTGTTGGCTTGCTGTATATTGCCTTAATTATGTTTAGGTATGTTCCTTATATCCCTGCTCTCTCCAAGACCTTTATCAAGAAGGGATGTTGTATTTTGTCAAAAACGTTTTCGGCATCTAATGAGATGATCATGTGGTTTTTATTTTTCAGCTTGTTTTATGGTGGATTACGTTGACAGATTTTCGTATGTTGAACCAACCCTGCATCTGTGGGATGAAGCCAACTTGATCATGGTGGATGATGGTTCTGATGTGTTCTTGGATTCTATTTGCCATTATTTTATTGAGTATTTTTGAATCAATTTTCATGAGTGAGATTGGTCTGTAATTCTATTTCTTAGTAATGTCTTTTTGTGGTTTAGGTATCGGGGTCACTGTAGCCTCATAAAAAGAGTTTGGCAATGTTCCTTCTGTTTCTATTGTGTGGAATAATTTGAGGAGTATTGGTATTAGTTCTCCTTTGAAAGTCTTGTAGAATTCTGAGCTGAAACCTTCAGATCCTGGACTTTTTTTTGGTTGGGAGATTTTTGATGAATGTTTCTATTTCGTCAGCAGTTAGAGGTCTGTTTACTTTTCTTATCTGGTCTTGATTTAATTTTGGTAAGTGATATTTATCCAGAGAGTTGTCCATTTCCTTTAAGTTTTCCAATTTTGTGGAGTACAGGTTTTCAAAATATGACCTGGTCATTCTCTGTATTTCCTTTGTGTCTGTTGTTATGTCCCCCTTTTCATTTCTGATTTTGTTAATCTGGATATTCTCTCTCTGCCTTTTGGTTAGTTTGGAGAAAGGTTTGTCTATTTTGTTGTTTTCTGGAAGAACCAGTTCTTCCTCTCATTGATTCTTTGTATTGTTTTCTTTGTTTCTATTTTGTTGATTTCAGCTCTCAATTTGATTATTTCCTGCCCTCTAGTTCTCTTAGGTGAGCTTGTTTCTTTCTGTTCTAAAGTTTTCAAATGTTCTGTGAATTCATAATGCGAGATTTTTCCAGCTTCTTTATGTAGGTTTTTAGTGCTATGAACTTTCCTCTCACCACTGCTTTCAGTGAGCCACATAAATTTGGGTATGTTGTGTGGTCATTTTCATTGAATTTTTGGATGTCTTTAATTTCTCCCTTTATTTCTTCCATGACCCATAATGAGTCAGGTGAACACTGGTAATTTCCCTGTGTTTGTGGGTTTTCTGGAATTAGTACTGTTGTTGACTTCTAATTTTATACCATGGTGATCTGGCATGGTACATTTGTATATTCCAATTTTTTTTTATTTGATGAGGTTTGTTTTGTTACCGAATATGTGGTCAATTTTTGAGAAAGTTCCATGAGGAGCTGAGAAAAAGGTATATTCTTTTCTGTTTGGATGGAATATTCTATAGATGTCTGTTAAGTCCATTTGAGTCATAACATCTGTTAGTTCTTTTATTTCTCTGTTCATTTTTTTTTCTTACTGACCTGTCCAATGGTGAGAGGGGAGTGTTGAAATCTCCCACTATTAGTGTGTGGTTTAGATTGAAGCTTTATAAGTATTTCCTTCACATATGTGGGTGCCCTTGTATTTGGGGCATAGATGTTCAGTACTGAAATTTTCTCTTGATGGATTTTTTTCTATGACTAATATGAAGTGACCTTCTTTTTCTCTTTTGACTGATTTTAGCTTGAAGTCTATTTTGTTAGATATTAGGATAGATACACACGCTTGTTTCTTAGGTCCATTTGATTGGTATATTTTTTTCCCAACCCTTTACACTGAGGCGATGTCTGTCTTTGAGGTTGAGATGTGTTTCTTCTATGCAGGAGAAGGATGGATTCTGTTTTCTTTTCCAATCTTTTAGCCTGTGCCTTTTTATAGGTGAGTTGAGTCTGTTTACATTAACGTATATCAATGACCAGTGATTGCTATCTCCTGTTAATTTAGTTTTCCTCGTTAGTGATGTTAATTTGTGCATTTTTTTCTTCTTTGGATTTTGCTGTTATGAGATCATCAATTGTCTTGTGTTTGTTTTTTTTTTTTTTTTTTTTTTTTTTTTTTTTTTTTTTTTTTTTTTTGGTGTAGCCGTCTTCCTTGGTTTGAAGATTTTTCTAGTATTTTGTGTATGGCTGGGTTTGTGACTAGGTATTGGTGAAATCTAGATTTGTCATGGAATAACTTGTTTTGTCCTTCTATGGCTATTGACAGTTTTGCTGAGTATAGTAGTCTGGGCTGGTATCCATAGTCTCTTAATGTCTGCATAATGCTTGACCATGACCTTCTGGCTTTCATAATCTCCAGTGAGAAATCAGGTGTAATTCTGATAGGTCTACCTTTATATGTTACTTGGCCTTTTTTTTTTTACAGTTCTTAGTATTATTTCTTTACTCTGTATATTTAGTGTTATGATTATTATGTGGTGAGAGGACTTTATTTTTGGATCTAGTCTATTTGGTTTTATGTAAGCTTCTTGTATCTTCATAGGCATATTTTTCTTTAGGTAGGGAAAGTTTACTTCTATGAACTTGTTAAATAAATTTTCTGTGCCTTTGAGTTGAACTTCTTCTCCTTCTTCTATACCTATTATTCTAAGTTTTGGCCTTTTAATGGTGTCCTGTATTTTCTGGATATTTTGGGTTAAGCTTTTGTTAGATTTAATGTTTTATTTAACTGATGAGTCTATTTCCGCTACTGTATCTTCAGCACTTGAGATTCTCTCTTCCATCTCTTGTATTCTGCTGTTCATGCTTGCATTTGTGGTTCTAATCTTTTTCTCATGGTTTCTGTATCTATGATTCCTTCGGCTTGTGTTTTTTTATTATTTCTATTTCAGTTTTCAAGTCCTGAATAGTTTCTTTTATATGTTTGATGTCTTTTTCTTGGTTTTCTTTAAGTGATTTGCTGATATCTTCCTATATTTTGTTTGTCTTTTCCTCAATTGCTTTAAGGGAATTTCTCATTTCATCTTTAAGGGAGGGGGAGAGGAGTTTGGGGGGAGGGGGAGAAGGGTGGAAGGAGGGGGAGGGAAATGGGGGAGGAGGTGGATACTTTTTTTTTCCTTTTCTCAATAAAAAAAAATTAAAAAAAAGAAAGCATGAAACAAAAAGAATTTCAAACATTCTCTTGAAGTTATTTTTTAGGTTATTTCCTTTGGTTCATCCGATTTTGGTTGTTCAGGTCTTACTGTTGTAGGGTCTTTAGGTTTTACTGGTGTTGTGTTGCTCTTTGTGGTGCAGCATGTGATCTTACCTTTTCTATTTATCTTTTCCTCTAATAGGTGTGGTTGGGGCTGTCTAAGATTCTGTTGAATAATCTTCTAGGGGCCAATGAATCCAAAGCTCAGATGGTCGTTCCTTGTGGTACAGTGTATCAGTTCTAGTTACCCCGTCGGTTACTCCGTGTTCCTGGACATAGCTCAGCACTCCTGTGTTTTGCTCTGCTCCCTTGCAGTTTGCTCTCTCAGGCCTACTTTGGCCTAGGTTGCGGCTTTGCCTGTTTCTGTAAATCCTGGTCTGGATCCCCTCCTGCAAAAGTCCATGGCTTGGAGTTTAACCTGCTCTGGTGAAGATCACTGACTCTGGATCTGGTCGCTGGCTCAATCCTGATGTGCCAGTGTCCCGGGACTGAAATGGCTCCTGGGACTGGATTTACTTCTGGCTTCTTCTCCAGTTAGAGATATTCGCTCTCTGTCCTAGGCAGCTGGTTCTGTCCCACTCTAGTTCTGATGGAAATCACTAACTCTGATTTGGGTCACTGGCTCAATACTGATCTACCAGTGTCCTGAAACTGGGTTGGCTTCTGGGACTGCATTTGCTCCTGGCTTCTGCTCCCCAAGCATTGATAATTCTTCATTTGCATTCAGAGGCTAGAGGAAATATTCAGGAGCCGTTCCCTTATTTTCTAAGACAGGGTCTCTCACTAGCTTCAAGTTTGCCAAATAGACTAGGCTGGCTAACCAGTGAGCCCCAGGGACATGCCTGTTTCTGCCACATTTTACTGGTAAACAACTCACTCAACTCTGTTTGGTGTGGAACTAAATATATATAGACAGGCTGACTTTAACTCAAAGAGATCTGGCTGCCTCTGACTTTACAACAAGATTAAAGGCCATGCACAGTTCACCAAGCTCTTCAAATGGATTCTAGGGATCAAACTTGGTGTCTAAGTTCCTGAGAGCAAACACAATACAGACTGAGACATCTGTTTGTTCCATGCATTTATGACCAAAACAACTGTATTTCTATGACTTCATTATCTGGAACTAAATGTAACCCTGATAACACACAGCGTAAGGACAGGTGGAAGGTGTGCACTGAGCTTGCTCTCCTGGAGTCTCAGCCTTCAGCATGTGTTCCCCTCTGTGAACTTCTAACAGCTGCTCCCCATCCCACCTCCCACAGAGGAGACAGATGTGACACTCATCCTCATCCAGGGAGGATCTGCTCACTCCTCATCTCTCCCCAGCAGTCAGCACCACCATGCAGAGCCCCTCCATCATCACCTCTGCAGTCACCACAGCTGGACTGGAGGACACAGAGGGACAGAGGAATCCTTCACTTGTGAACATAGGAGCCACAGTCGGGGGGGTGGTGGCCACGGCTGTGCTCATAACCCCCGTCTATGTGATGCTGATCTTCCTATGGTGGAAGAAAAGGTGAGTGGTCCAGGACAGGCTCTCACCTGAGCTTACCTCTGAGTTTTCTCAGTTGTGGGACATGGAGATAGGTAAATGTATTAGTCAGGATTCTCTGGGGTCACAGAATTTATGGAATGGATATATGTATAAATATATAGTGAAATATATTTTTGAATATAATGAATATATGGGAATTTATTGGAATGACTTATGGCTGCCATACAACAATGACTAACTGTGAATGGAAAACCCAAGGACCCAGTAGCTTTTCAGTCCCATGAGGCTGGCGTCTCAGCTGCTCTGCTGCGATCTTGACTATGGAAATAAATGTGATGATGGAGGTGAGGGCAAGTAGGTGAAGAATTCCTGCTTCCCTTGTCCTTGCACCAGCTTAAAACAGAAGGAGTGGCCCAGATAAAAAGTGCCTTCCAGCCTTGTGGTCTGCATCAAAGGCATGCTGTCTTCCTCCCTTGAGATCCAGATCACAAGTGTGACCCTTCATTACTGGATTATAGTTCATTACTGATTCAGTCCAAGTCAGCCAAGAACAGCCAGCACAGGAAACATATGCAGGGCAGAGAACAGAAGGACAGAAAAGAGGCTGAACCCACTCAGGACTAAATCTGTGCCTACGTCCTTAGAGCCCCAGCTGGAAATTAGAGGATCAAGTGCAGATGAACACAGCCTGCTCCTAAGGAATTCAAGGGACTCGCAGGAGCCCCGGGGGCTAACTGCTCGTTTGGAAAGAGCTGTGGCTGCTAAACAAGGTCTGAGGTAGAGCAGCCTGCAGGGACAGCATCTCACAGGAGGTGAGACCGTGAAGACAGAGAACTGCTTGAGTTGGGGATATGGTATCAACACAGAAATTAAACAACGGTGTGCAATAGACCACAGCTGAAAAGAACATGTCTGGGAGAACCTACACTAAGAGAGGTGAAAGATTTGTACCCTAAAAACTAAACACTGCTGAGAAAAATAGCAGAGCAGCCATGAGACAAATCAGTTGGTGAAGTGTTTGCCCATAAACACAAAACCATGGGTACCATCCCTAGGGTTCACAGATAAAGTTGACTACGTTGGCAGATACTGGACAGAAAGGTGCAGTAGGATCCATGAGGCTCACTATGCTGCAAGGCTTGCCCAATCAGTGAACCCCAATCAAGGGCAGACCTGTCCCCAAAACTATAGTGGACAGCTCCTGCAGGATGATACCCAAAGATATACCTCTACCACCCACATGTGTGTGAACACATGCAAATGTGCACATACATATATGTACTACACAGAAATAAAATTATAAAAAGTAGAAGATTACTGAAATATGTAAGGACATTTGAATAATGGAAAATTTTATACAATAACTCTTTACAATGAAAAAAAGTAAATGTAGTTTCTATTCAAATACCAATGGCTTTTCTGGAAAGACAAATGATTTTTCTTCTAAAATCAAAAGGATTCTAAGAAACAAACATGGGAACACGGTAAGGAACACTTTAATCCCAGCATTGAGAAGTACATGGGGGCTGAATTAAGAGTTCAAGCTGTTATGAAGTTACATAGAAAGTTGAAGGTCAACTTGGCTTCCACAAGATCTTGAACACACATTAAACAAAAGTAAAGTGTGGACTGGATTCAGAGCAGACTTAAATCCATGATAAGAAGACTACAGGATGGCAGCAGAGATGAGCAGATAGTGGAGTGTAATGGAAAGCACAGAAATACAGACATGAATATGCGGGCCCTGGTTTTCAGAAGGGCTCAGCCCTGCAGTGGATAAGAAGAGCAGCTGAGAGGTGGAGAGCAGCAGTCTGGGAGGCAGCAGATCTGACTGGGATTTGAACCCTGAGACTGAATCTGCAGGGTGCAGGAGCCTGCACTCAAAGGGAAAGCCAGGGATCCAGGTTCCAGGGAGACAAAAGGGAGGCCTGGTGAGTGCAGAGCAGGGAGAGCAGGGAGGGGACATGAGTTCAAGACAGGGGAAGGAAGCAAAGGGAGAAAGACATGGACAAGGGGCAGTGGACAGGAGAGCTGTCCTCTGATTGGCTGTGCTGTGCAGAAGGACAGCTGACAACTGGTCTCAGGTCCTGGGGACTCTCAGACCTGTCCCTGATTGGCTGCTACAGAGCTGTTTGCTGTTCTGTGCCCCTAATGTTGAACACAGAGAACAGCTGAGAGGCAGACAGAGGATCAGCATGGCCGCCACACTGACACTGGTTCTTCTCCTACAGGCCAGCAGACTAAAGCTGAAACCCCAGCCAGGTGAGCAGCTGTCATCCCAAGGAGCAGGTGAGGGGCTATTTGAGGAAGTTTGTTATGAGAGACATGCAAAGGAGCTAGAGAGATGGTTGAGTTAGAAACCCTTGCACACTGGTAGGAGGACCTGTGTCTCACTGGGAGAACCCACACTATAAACCAGGAGAGTGACTGAAATATGTAATCCCTCTTTGGACAAGAAAGAGACAGAAGCGTGGAGCTGTCTGTCTAGCCAGTCTAGTGTAATTGCTGAGTTACAGGCCAATGACAGACCATGTCATAAAAAAATAATGTGGATTCTTCAAGGGGATAAATTATGGTCATGGCATTTTCTAATATTACTTTAAATGAAGGGTTTGAAAATTACATATTAATGGACAAAAGAAAAGTGGGGATCAGAGAGATAGTTCAGTAGGAGAAGCTGTCTGCAGCCAAGACCAATGACCTGCGTTCATTTGGGGACCTAAATGGGGCAAGTAGAAAACTGACTACAGAAAACCGTCCTCTCCTTCTTAGGCACAACAGTGTCTGTTAGTCCCCAACTAATGGAACTCCAGGGGCCAGCATCGCTCACCAGGGTGGTGAATTTCCATCAAATTAAAGCTTGGTGGCCACACATCCTGCATCTCAACCCCTTCCTTCACCAAAGCCTGGAAATCGGAGAGCAGGGCTGTACCCTGTGCTGTGAAACATCCGTCCATGGACAGGTACAGGAAGAGAACCCCACTTCTGCAATGTGTACTTGAATTCCCTTCCTCGGAACCCAGTCAGTTTGTCTGTCTCTGGTCCTGAGATCCCAACTCTGCTGTTACCTATCTGTCCATGAAGTTAATAACATTTTTAATAAATATCTTCCTCCCAGCAATGCCTATCCTGTTTCTCATAACACCCATGTGAGACCTTAGAGAATAGCAGATTGTGTCCAGGAGCAGCGACACTGAGAGAGGCAGGGACCATGGTCCACAATGAGAACCACTGCATGAGAACCCCGTTTCTCTCTCCATTCTCCCTGGACACTGACATCTCAGCCACAGGCCCTGGCCACTCCATGCTCCTCCTCAGGTGACAGACCATGGCTTGCTTGGGTCCCATATTCAGTATCCTTTCCTCACAGATCCAACTACAAACACTCGTTTTCCTTATTTCCTGCCTTGTGGATGTTCTGACCTCTGGGGTCTCCCCTAAGACAAGACTTCCTTCCAAGTCCAGCCTGTCTTAACATTTGATAGTCAGTGGGTCAGCTTCTACCAAAGAGCATGCTGGGACATAAGGACAGCATCCACACTGACCAATAAGAATGAAATCCAGGCCGTTTTCACAGCCAGAAGTGGTGCATAGGCATTTGGCAGTGCGGCTGTAGTTGGCCCCCATATGCCCATAGGGAGTGGCACTGTTAGGAGGCATAGCTTTGTTGGAGTAGGTGTGGCCTTGTTGGAGGAAGTGTGTCATTCTGGAGGTGGGTTGTATGTCTCCAATGCTTAGGCTACACTTACCGTAGATACTGTTCACTTCATGATACCTGTGGATTCAGAAGCATAACTCTCAGCTCCTTTTCCAGCACCATGTCTGCCTGCATGCTGCTATGTCCCACCATGAAGATAATGGACTAAACCTCTGAAACTGGAAGCCACCCCAAATTATTTCCTTCATAGGAGTTGCTATGCTCATGGTGTCTCTTGACAGCAATAGAAACCCTAAGACAGACGTGCTGATTCAGATCCACCAATCACAGTCCTGCATAGATGAACCTCTTTTTCCATCAGTGACAAATCTCAAATGTGTATCAATCAGGGGCCTTTGCTGAGTCACTGGAAATTGTCCCATCCCCATGGGAGGAGCTGAAGCTAGGAGGGGTGATGGAGAAGTCACCAAGGCTTCTCACGACTACAGTAGATTCTCCTGGGTCAGCTGTGAGATGTCTGCTGTAGTGTAACTGGATCCAAGACTCTGAGACTGAACTCAGCAGCAGTGAACTTGTGAACTTGAAGACACGAGAATCTAAAGAAACAGTTTTTCGTTAGTTTCACTGAAATAAATTTTGTGACTATTAATAGTTGGCTTAAGCAATATAGAAATTTGAGGAGGAAATTGAGAGTTTCTCAGTTTCTGTGACCTCAAACTCAATGACGTGTGAGTTCCTTCCTCTGCCTTGGCTATCTGCAGAACCTGGAAGACTTCACAGAGGAGCAGATGGCTGATCTGGTCACCATGCCACTCACTAGACTTGTAGGACACTGTATAGAGTCTCTTCTTGGGGCTCCCCTCTACAGGGATGCAGGGAGGTGCTCACACTGAGGATGGAGAACACATCACAGATGTTGATGTCATCAAGGGGAGAAATGAGGATGCAGATGGGGGCGGGGCAACTTTGCTAATGTGAAGTCCTAGCTGCAGACTGAGTATCCTGTCTACACCACAGGTCATCATCTTCCACCCTCTCTCTAGCATCCCCTTGACTCTCTCGGGACCCAATCTGGGCAGCTACTCTGGGTTTCTTCTGGGTGCTCTTAGATGCCACTGGGGATAAAAATTCAAGGAGTGGGAGAGTGGATGGTGTGACAGATGGATGGACAGATGGACAGTTTTCATCTATGAGTTGTCTGCTGGGGCAGGGCCCATCTGCCCTTCACTGTGTTATTTGAGGGAAGTTTCTGGAATTGGATGGTTCCGGCAGAAACAGGAATGGTTGAGTCTATTCTCTGCCATCACTGTCATGGGAATACACAGCTGGGTATAAAATCGGGGTCTGAATGCTGGGGACACGATCAGGAACTGGAGTCTGAAGAGTCGCAGGGGCTGACCTCTGGAGGCCATGTTTACTCAGGATGAGGACTGGGTAAACATGTGGGGCACATCAGCTATGGATGTCTCCCTGCATGACGTGTCTGTGACTGTATTCAGCTGCACATGTGTGCACGTGTGAGCTTCCCTATGTGGAGGCCAGCGGACAAACTCGGGCATTACTACTCAGGACATATTCCACCTTGAATTTCTTTGTTTGTTTGCTTGGTTGGTTTTTATGAGACAAAATCTATATAGCCATTGCTGGCGTGGAAAGTGATAAATAGACCAGGACAGCCTCAAACTCACTGAGATCCACTCGTGTTTGTCTCTGGCTCTGCCTCCACAAAGCTGGAATTAAAGGCATGCACCATCATGCCTAGCCCACTTTATGTTTTAGCTTTTAAAATTACACTTATTTATTCTGTGGGTGCAGGGCACACTTGTGCTACAGCCTGAGCAGCAGCCAGGTTCTAACACTGCAGTCTGACACTCCTCCCCATGGTCACATGTATGTAACAGCCCCATGTGTGCACTGGACAGCCCCCAGCTGCTCTTCCACAGAACGAGCCACTTCCCTGTGAAAGACTCGTGGCTTCAGGGCCCAGTCACTGCTATTGGTGGAAATGCAGTTTTCGCTGGAGGAGACTGATTACAGCTTGCTGGACAGAAATCGTCCCACAGCAGGGTCCCTATGGGATACAACTGAGTCCAGGATTTGAAATTAGAACAGAGCTCATGATTTGGAATTGTGTGGCCAGCAGGTGGCAGCAGTGAGGCTGAGCACATGGGACAGCTGGGATCCTGAGAGACCAACAAGAGCCTGTTGATAATTTGAAATAACAAAACAGGATGTTGTAAGAAATATGTCTGCCCACAGCACTTACCAATCCTCAGCCTCTATTGCTTTGTGGTGCTCTGTTAAGACTCCTGTTTGCAGAAACAGATGTTTTAGAACAACATTTAGTAGGCAATAATAGTTCGCAGGTTAAATAGTAAGTGAAAAATATATACAGGATTAAAAATAAGACGTTCAGTTTGTACATATGCAGGCATGTATAAATACTATCTCTTTTAACAATAAAACAATGCTGGAGGCCAACAGCTGGCACAGGGCAAGCTCATTAGGCCCAGTCCTTCCTTTAGAAACTTAGCAAGGGGTGAGGAAGGCAGAGAAAGCAGACATGACAGAGGCGGCTGCATAGCCACCTGCAGGGGAACATGGAGAAGGCAATCAATGCCAGGAAATCTAAGGATTCAGAGAGTATAATGCCATTTCTTTTGGTACAATCACATCTTCCTGCCCTTCAGGGAACTGGTGGCACCTTGAAATGGGGAAGGGTGAGATGACCTCCACAAAACCAGCCCTGTGACCACCACAGCCACTGCCCCCACATCTCACAACTCAACTCTCTTCACAGACCAGCTGTGTCCACACCCAGAGATGTCCCTGGTGATATGTCGTGACTGACACATTGTTGCTCTGAACCCTTTTGCCCACTCCATTCAAAGAAGGTTCTAGAACAGCCACAGATAGAACGAATCCTGAAGTATTCTGTGGGAACAGCCTCCCTGGAGCCCAGCAGCGGATCCGTGGCCTTGAGGGGAGCTCAGAGGCTGCACCGAGCAGGCAGCAGGAAGTCAGTGTGGAGAGTGAGAGTAGGAGAAGTCAGTGGGACTGAAGTCCAGTCACCTGCCGTGTGCCAGTCATGTGACATGTGCCAGGCTTCTCTGATATTTGGTTTCCTCTTCTGAGTGTGTGTTAAGGGTGGTGGGAGGCAAAAAAGTTCCTTCAGAAACTGAAGTAGCTCTGGAGTCACTGTCATGGTGAAGAAGACGAATCTATAACTCACCAGGAAGCACAGGGAAGTTACAGACTCTGCAACAGCGAGCAGCCAGGGCGAGAGTGTCCACTGGGCCTTAGTTTTCCAGGGCCGCTGTGAGGAGTCCCTGACAGGCAGCAAGAGTGCAAAGAGCAGACGATGATGGGGCCACCAAGCTAGAACTGGGGACTGAATGTGTTTCCTCATCACCTCCTTCCTTGCTGTGTCTGGTGAGCAGAAGATGATCAGACCCTTAACTGTGATTATTATACAGAGGGAGAGAAAGAGAGAGAGAGAGAGAGAGAGAGAGAGAGAGAGAGAGAGAAACACAGAAAGCCAGCTTGAGGAGAGACATAGTGAGAAACAGACTGAGGGGAGGGCAGGAGTGGAGGAAATTATGAAGCTGAGGAAACAGTGATTGCAGGCTGCATAGGGAATGGGAAAGACTGGATGAGACAGGAGGTCAGGGTGGAAGAGAGGAGAGCCCGGCATGCAGAGGTCAAGGCTGCATCTTTCAGCAAAAAATGGGGGTTGAGCTCATGGGTGCAGTCATCTTCTCAGTGACCACAAGGGTGGATCTTCTGCAATGTGGGAAAAAAGAAGCCAGAATGATAAAGGAAGTTGGTGGCCAGAAGGAGGTGGAGAAGGGGAGGTCCTTCCCCCACTCAGTCCTCCACATGAGAAGGGCCAGGGAATGTCGGTCACTTTACCCTGATTTTCTACTGACTCCTGAGCACCCAGAGTTCTTCCACAGGCCCTCCTCCACTGTCTGAAGGCTCCTCTGTTCTCACTTCCTAGAGAAATTTCTTACATGGCTTCGGTCCTGCTTCTGCTGCTCCCAGCAGCATGCCTGCAAGGTGGTGAGTGGTGGGAACCTCACTACTCTAGACTTAACCACAGGAGGAGTGAGTGGAGCTGGGAAGACTGGGCTGTCCTGTGGACAGGTGACTGCTAGAAGAACCAACCTGTCCTCTGAGCCACAAGAGAGAGCTCATCTTCAGAGTGGGTCCAGCTCAACTCTTCCTGTCTATCCTGTCCCCTACTGAACAGTGGGACAAGGGGATAGTCCTTCCCTAGTCTTACTCCTGCCTGTGGTGAAGACTCGGGAAGCTCTGGGGTGTCCTTTCCATCCCCTGCAGTGGTTTCAGATTCTTCCCCATCCTTCCCAGGGAACTCAGCAGGATCCAACAGAGGAAATACCTTTGGTGTCAACCAACCAGAACGCCTCTCTGGTGTCCAGGGCGGCTCCATCGAGATCCCCTTCTTCTTCTACTTCCCCTGGGAGTTGGCAAAGGATCCACAGATGAGGATTCTCTGGAAATGGCAGCGCTTCCATGGGGAATTTATCTACAACTCTTCCTCGGGTTTCATCCATGAGCATTTCAAGGACCGGCTCATCCTGAACTGGACACAGCCTCAGACATCCGGAGTCCTCAGAATCTTTGACTTGAAGGAGAAGGACCAGACAGTGTACTTCTGCCGAATTTGTCTGAAAACGACAAAAGGCATGGAGATTTTTCAGTCGATCAATGGGACCCAACTCACCATCACCCCTAGGAAGCACTTCCCAGGTCAGTCCTGTGTACCTGGCTTTTTTATACCATAGATGTCACTGGAGATCTTGCAAGTCTGATCCTTCCCAGATTCCTCTGGTGTGTTCTATCCACTCTCCAAAGCTCTACCTTTCTTTTCCCCATAATCACCTGCAAGACGTAGCATCTCTCTCAAAGCTGCCCCCTCATTGTGCCCTCCGATATCACCCCACTCCCGGGCCCCAGTTCTTCTCAGATGGCCCAGTCTCCTGCTCCTTTCTCCAAACTACATTACTACCCTGCCCACCCCACCCTCATTGCCAGAAATTCATGAGTACCTGATCTTTACAAAATGGAGCAGCCCTCACTTTGTGCTGTGCCAGGGTCTCCGTTAGATCTCAGCTCACATTATATCTCGCGCCTTCTGTCCCCCATGTATACCCACACTCCCCTGGGTCTCTGCCCCAGTTTCATTTTCCCCTCCCTCAGTTCCCTCTTCTCCCTCACGTTCTTACCATGATCAGGTCTCCTGGTTGCTTCACCTCCTCTGTGGCAGCTGTGATTTCAGCTTCCACACCGGGTGCACTCAGTCCCAGCCTAGTTACCCTGTGGGTGTTACCACGGCCACCTGTCACCACTGCTGGGCACTCTCATGGTCATTATACAGAGAGAGAGACATGGAGACCAGCAGAATTCAACCCCTGCCCCAGGTCATACTGGTGACCAACAGACCCCACAAAGACCCTTTACCTCCAAGCGTCTCTCAACTATAGACACATGGCCTCTGCTGAAGCTCACTATTTTTTGCCTCCCTTCTATCTTGATTTTGTGGAGCATATAAATATGATGTAAGCATATATGTATGTGTGTGCATGTGTGTCTTGTATGTTTGTGTGTGTGTACATATACCACATTTTTGTGCTTGGGAAGGCCAGAGTGCGGCACTGGGAATCCTCCTCTTGTAAGACAGACTTTATTCCCTTGAGGCAGGGTCTCTCACTGAACCTGGAGCTCACTGTTCTGGGCTAGGCTGAAGGGCTATGAAGCTGCATTGATCCTCTTGTCCCCATTTCCTATGGTGTTGAGGTTACAGGTGATCACATAGCCTGCCGTACAAAGAAAGTGTATGATACCCCAGGAAGGATCACCTAAGGTAAAAACCTAGAAGTAGAAACTGAAACAGAAGCCATGGAGGAGGGCTGTTTTCTGGGCTTGCTTAGCATGCTTTGATTATAGAATCCAGGAGTAACAGCCCAGACATGGCACCACACACAGTGAGCTGTGCCTTCCCACATCAATCAAATCAAGAAAATGTCCTACAGACTTGCCTATGGGCAATCTGATGAAGGCATTTTCTTAGTTGATGTCCCCTTCCCAGATAACTACAGCTTTGTCAAATTGATACAATAACTAACCAGAGCACAGGGCAAGTACTTTCTGGACTGAGCCATCTCCTCAGCTGCTGAACTGCCTTTTCTTCTCTCGGGACTGCACTTCCTTAGTGACTCTGAGCACTGCTTTCATAGTGTCCCATAGGTTTGAGTATGTTGTCCCATTATTTTCATTAAATTCAAGGAAGACTTTAATTTCTTTCTTGATTTCTTCCTTGACCCAGGTGTGGTTCAGTAGTTGACTATTCAGTTTCCATGAGTTTGTAGGCTTTCTGGAGGTAGGATTGTTGTTGAATTCTAACTTTAATCCATGGTGATCTGATATGACACAGGTGGACACTGATATTTTTTTGTATCTGTGGAGGTTTCCTTTGTTTCCGAGTATGTGGTCAATATTCGAGAAGGTTCCATGGGCTGCAGAGAAGAAGGTATATTCTTTCCTATTTGGGTGGAATGTTCTATAGATGTCTGTTAAGTCCATTTGCTTCATTACCTCCAGTAGTTCTAACCTTATCCATGACAGTGGCCGATGAGACTCTTTCCCTCTCATTACTCAACCCTGACATTTCCAACAACTTTGTTTTTTGTTTTGTTATTTTGAGACGTTCTGGGAAAGAAGGTAGTATGTAAGTATAGATATATGTACATATACACACACGTTTGCCTACACTTCCTGTTAAGATTGGGGCAACAAACGACGTTCGTTATATAAAAAATCCTGGAACTGAATAGTAATGATGGCTGCTCTGGCTCCACAAAATGGATGCACTGTAAGCCACTGGACCACATATTGCTAAGTTCAAATGATATATCATACATTACATACATTTATACCTGAGGCAGGGTCTCACTATGTAGCCCTAGCTGGCCCAGAACTTGCTATGTAGACTACACAGACCTTGAACTCAGAGATCTGCCTGTCTCTACCTCTCGAATGCTGGGATTAGAGGTTCCTCCACCAGTGAGATAAGAACTGATTTTTTAAGTGGGGTGGTGCAAACCTGTGATCCCAGTGGAAGGTGGAGGCGAAGAGATTAGGAATCTAAGGTCATTAGCTACACAGCAAATTCAAGGTCAGTCTGGGCTACGTGGACTCCATCTATAAATAAATGTTAAGAGCAGTGGCTTTGTGATTGTGAGGACCAAAATTCAAATCCCATCACCCACGGAGGAACCTGGATGTCCCTGCATATGCTGTGACACCAAGGAGGTGGAGGCAGGAGGATTGCAGAGTTTGTTGGCTTTGAGTTTACCTGAGGCATTAGCCCCCATTTCACAGAGAGAAGCTGCCCCTGAGGAAGAGATGGAGAATGTTGTAAGAGGACACAGAAGCCTCTTCTGTCCACACATGCATATTCATGTGCACATCTCTATCCTTTGTATGTGTGTGTTTGTGTGTGTGCTCATGTGCTTGTGTGTATAGGTACATGTATGTACACTCAGCAGACACATAATACACACACATAAAACAAATAGCAAAAAGATTTTAGTAGTACTTGATTAAATATTTCATACAATTTACAATGTATTTTCATCATATCTACATCAAAAGCAAGCAGCGTCTTCAACAATAGGTTCTTACCATCTAGCTGGGGTGGGCAACCAAGAGCAATCACAATACTCTGTGTGGGATTGGGGGCTCTGAACCACACTCACCGATAATGCCTTGGGAGGCAAACCATGCCAGGCACTGAGAATTTGTTCAATAACTCACGTCTAAGGAGCAGCCTTGTCCACCCTGGCAGGCTACTTCTGTTCTAACAAGGACTGTTACTAGAAAATGACTGTTTAGATCTGTGTGACTTAGAGATTGCTCTTTGTAAGGGATGACATGAGAGTCTGAGGATGTTCCTACCAGGAAGTAGAGTTGTCATTTTCACCCAATTCTCAGCCTCAGCATCTGTTCCCTTCTTCCTGTGTGAGCTTGTAAGAGCTGTTCCCCATCCCGCATCCCTCATATGAGACGAGATACCAGACAATGCAGTTCTATCGTCTAGGTCTGGAGTTAGACTCACTGCTCTAAAAAGAAGACAGTCAGGCCTCTAAATTATGCTTCTGGGCTATGCTGTTATCAGTCATTTTGATCCTGGTGTTGTGGGTCTTTCTCTGGGTTGCAGTTAATTATTTCTCCTGCTGCCCTTGAGAGTCCTGAACTAAAGTCATCAGTACCGAGGTGAAGGTGAGCATAGGAGGTAAGAATCTTTTATGTGGGGTAAAACCAGAGCAGCATCTTGGGCAGGTGATGCTCTATGCCTGGACCCGAAGCCCTGACTGGATGCCTGCTGATAAAGACAATTGCAGGAAGGCAGATCTCTGTGCTTACCTAGGACAGAGGAACAAGGCCTGGCAGTGGGAAACTGTTCTGAACTAGGGAATTCATTCCCAAATATGTAACAGAAGGGAAGCCAGCTACAGTGAAAAATCTACAGCAAAGGACAGCCACTTTATTCACAAAGCAAGAATGCAAAAGCCTTGCCTTTGGGTTTAGCCCTTAGGGGATCCCTTGGTTCTGATAAGTCTCTCCTGAAAAGATGACTGGGCAATTACTCTATGATGTCACAGCCTCCCTGCGCTCAGCTTGTCCAGATTGGAGGAGAAACAAGGAGGTCCAGTGACAACCCCCAACTCTGTATTTAGGATTTGACCCATCCTGACCTGAGGTTTAGGCCTAAATAGAAGACAAGACACAAGCACAGCTAAGCAGTCCCAGGTCCCGTGTGGCCCCGCCCACAGTGAGCCATCATCCTCTGTCTCAGTCTCTCCTGCAGGGTGATCAGAGGAGCTGTCAGAACTGTGTGAACTCTCTTTCTGGAGATCAGTTCTTTACTGGCTGGCTCTAAGCTTTGCCTTTTCCTTCTTCCAGTCCAGCTTGAGACTCCTTGGGTGTCTCCAGTTCCTTGGAGTCCATTGCTTCAGTGTCTGACGGCAAAGAGTGCTGCAGAGGCTTCTCTAGAATCTTCACTCCTACTGGGGAAGTTCATGCTCACTTCCTTCATTTCTTCCCAGCCCTCAGGACCACCTCTTTAAGCCCCAACACTGAAACTTCTGTATGAACCAAAAATACCCTCACAGCCACAGAAGGTCAGATGAGCAGAGAAAAACAGACCTTGCATCTGGGAATCAGATTTGGGGTAGGTGAGTTGAGTCCATTTACATTAAGTGATATTAATGACCCGTGGTTGCTATCTCCTGTTAATTTAGTTTTCATTGTTGGTTATATTAATTTGTGCATTTTATCTTCTTCAGAATTTGCTGTAATGAGATCATCAATGTCTGTGTTTTTGTTGGTGTAGCCATCTTCCTTGGTTTGGAGTTTCCTTCTAGTATTTTGTGTAGGGCTGGATTTGCTAGATATTGGTGAAATCTAGATTTGTCATGGAATATCTTGTTTTCTCATTTTATGGTGATTGACAGTTTTGCTGGGTGTAGTAATCTGTGCTGGCATCTGTGGTCCCTTAATGTCTGAATAATGCTTGACCATGACCTTCTGGCTTTCATCAATTCCAATGGGACATCAGGTATAATTCTGATAGGTCTACCTTTATATGTTTCTGGCCTTTTTCCTTTGCAGCACTTAATATTCTTTCTTTACTCTGTATGTTTAGTGTTTTGATTATTATGTGGCTAGAGGACTTTTTTTTTGATCCAGTTTGTTTGGTGTTATGTAAGCTTCTTGTGTCTTCATAGTCATATCTTTCTTTAGGTAGGGAAAGTTTTCTTCTATGATTTTGTTAAATAAATTTCTGTGCCTTTGAGTTGAATTTCTTCTCCTTCTTTTATGCCTATTATTCTAAGATTTGGCTTTTTAATGGTGTCCCATATTTCCTAGATATTTTGGGTTAAGCTTTTGTTAGATTGAATGCTTTCTTTAACTGATGAGTCTATTTCCTCTATTGCATCTTCAGCACTTGAGATTCTCTCTTCCATCTCTTGTATTCTGCTGCTCACGCTTGCATTTGTGGTTTCTGCTCTTTTTCTCATGATTTTTGGTTCTATAATTTCTTCAGCTTCTGTTTTCTTTATTGTTTCTATTTCAGTTTTCAAGTTCTGAATTGTTTCTTTTATATGTTTTATTTATTTTGGGGGGTTTCTTTAAGTGATTTGCTGAATCTTCCAATTTTTTCTTTGTCTTTTCCTCAATTTCTTTTAGGGAATTTCTCATTTCATCTCTAAAAGTTTCAAACATTTTCTTGAAGTTATTTTTTAAGTCATCTTATTCTGGTTCATTCATTTCTGATTGTTCAGGTCTTGCTGTTGAGGGGGTCTTTAGGTTTCACTGGTATTGTGTTCTTCTTTGGGTGTAGCATGTAAACTTACTTTTCTATTCATTTTTTCCTCAAATAGGTGTGGTTGAGGCTGTCTAAGATTCTGTTGAATAATCTTCTAGGTATCAGTGAATCCAAAGCTCAGATAGTTGTTCCTTGTGGTACAGTCAGTGTCACAGTTCTAGTTACCCCTATGGTTATTCAGTGTTCCTGGAGATTGATCAGCACTCCTTGCTTTACTCTGCTCCCTTGCAGTTTGCTGTCTTGGGCCTACTTTGGCCTAGGTTGCTGGCTTTGCCTAGTTTCTATAAATCCTGGTCTGAATCCCCTTCTGCAGAACTCCCTGGCTTGGAGTTGAACCTGTTCTGGTGAAGATCACTGGCTCTGGATATGGTCACTGGCTCAATTCTGATCCACCAGTGTCCCGGGACTGGGTAGGCTCCAGGAACTGGATTTACTTCTGGCTTCTTCTCCAGGTGGAGCTATTTGCTCTCTGTCCTAGGTAGCTGGTTCTGTCCCACTCTGGTTCTGATGGAGATGCTAACTCTGAGTCGGGTTGCTGCTCAATACTGATCCGCAATGTCTCAGGGCTGGGTTGCCTTCTGGGACTGCATTTGCTCCTGGCCCCTGCTCCCCAAGCATTGACAATTCTTCATATACATTCAGAGGCTAGAGGAAACACTCAGGAGCCGTTCCCTTATTTTCTCAGACAGGGTCACTCACTAGCTTCAAGTTTGCCAAATAGACTAGGCTGGTTAATCAGTGAGCCCCAGGGACATGCCTATCTCAGCCTTTTTTTACTGGGACACAGCTCAGTCAACTCTGTTTGGTGCAGAACTAAATATACATAAACAGACTAACTTTAACTCACATAGATCTGCCTGCCTCTGTGATGAAGAAAGATCAGTGGTTAATTAATAAAGAAACTACTTGGCCTGATAGGTTAGAACACAGGTGGGTGGAGTAAACAGAACAGAATGCTGGGAGGAAGAGGAAGTGAGCTCAGATGCCATGCCTCCCCTCTCCAGGGCAGACGTGATGAAGCAAGCCGCCAGGTCAGACATGCTGAATCTTTCCCAGTAAGACTGGTGCTACACAGATTACTAAATATGGGTTAAGCAAGATAAGTCACCACCTCATGGTGCTACACACATTAATAGAAATGGGCCAAGCGGTATTTATATGAATACAGTTTTTGTGTTGTTATTTTGGGGCATAAGCTAGCCAGGTGGCTGGGATCTGGGTGGCAGGAATGCAGCCCACAGCTCCTTCAACACCTTTGCCTCTAGGGCTAAGATTAAAGAACATTCTCAGCTCTCCAGGCTCTTCAAATGGATTCTAGGGATGAACTCGGGGTCTAAGTTCCCAAGAGCAACACGATACAGACAGAGACATCTGCTTATTCCATTCATTTATGGCCAAAACAACTGTATTTTTATAGCTTAATTATCTGTGACTAAATGTAAATCTAAGGACACACAGCCAGGAGAGGTGGAGGGCGTGCACTGAGCTTGCTCTCCTGGAGTCTCAGCCTTCAGCATGTGGTCCCCTCTGTGAATTTCTAACAGCTGCTCCCCATCCCACCTCCCAAGAGGAGACAAGATGTGACACTCCCCCCATCCCTCCTCATCCAGGGAGGATCTGCTCACTCCTCATCTCTCCCCAGCAGTCAGAACCACCATGCAGAGCCCCTCCATCATCACCTCTGCAGTCACCACGGCTGGACTGGAGGACACAGAGGACCAGAGGAATCCTTCAGTTGTGAACCTGGGAGCCACGGTCGGGGTGGTGGTGGCCACGGCTGTGCTCATAACCCCCGTCTATGTGATGCTGATCTTCCTCTGGTGGAAGAAAAGGTGAGTGGTCCAGGACAGGCTCTCACCTGAGCTTACCTCTGAGTTTTCTCAGTTGTAGGACATGGAGATAGGTAAATGCATTAGTCAGGGTTCTCTAGGGTCACAGAATTTATGGAATGAATATATTTATAAATATATGGTGAAATATATTTTTGAACATATAATAAATATATGAAAATTTATTGGAATGACTTATGGCTGACGTCCAACAGTGACTAACTGTGTATGGTAAGATCAACAACCTAGTAGTTGCTTAGCCCCAGGGGCTACCTGCTCATTTGGAAAGAGCTATACCTGCTAAACAAAGCCTGAGGTAAAGCAGCCTTCAGGGACAGCATCTCACGGGAGGTGAGACCGTGAAAAGAGAGAACTGCCTATGTTGGGGATATGGTATCAACACAGAAAATAAGACAACGGTGTTCAATAGACCACAGGCAAAAAGACAATGGCTGGGAAGAGCCTACACTAAGGGAGGTAAAATATTTGTACTCTAAAAACAACACACTGCTGAGAGAAATTACAGAGCAGCCAGGAGACGGCTCAGTTGGTAAAGTGCTTGCCCCATTAACACAAGGACCTGGGTTCCATCCCCAGGATTCACAGATAAAGTTGACTACATTGGCAGACACTGGAAGAGACATAGGATCCATGAGGATCACTGTGCTGCCAAGCTTTCCCAATCAGTGAACCCCAATCAAGGGCAGACCTGTCCCCAAAGCTATAGAGGACAGCTCCTGCAGGATGATTCCCAAGGATATACCTCTACCACCCACATGTGTGCACATCTGCAAATCTACACATACATATATGTACTTCACAAAATAAATTAATAAAAAGTAGGAAAATACTGAAATATGTAAGAATATTTGCATAATGGAAAATGTTATTTTATGCGATAACTCCTTACGATGAGAAACAGTCTAAAAAGTCAATAAGTGCCTATTCAAATCCCAACTGCCTTTTTGTAAAGACAAATGTTTTGTCTTCTAAAATCAGAAGGATTCTAAAAAACAAATATGGGAACACAGTAGGGGACACCCTAATTCCAGCATTGGAAAGTGCAAGGGGGAATTAAGAGTTCAAGCTAAACTGAAGCTACATAGAAAGTTGAATGTCAGCCTGGCTTCCACAAGAGCTTGGTTACACATAAAATAAAAATAAAGTGTGGACTGGATTTAGAGCAGACTTAAATCCATGGTAAGTAGACTACAGGACAGGAGCAGAGATGAGCAGATAGTGGAGTATATTGGAAAGCCCAGAAATTCAGACTAAAACTTTGGTTTTCAGAAGGGCTCAGCCTAGAAATGGATAAGAAGAGCAGGTGAGAGGTGGAGAGCAGCAGTCTGTGGGGCAGCAGAAGTCTGACTGGGATTTGAACCCTGAGACTGAATCTGCAGGGTGCAGCGCTGCACTAACAGGGAAGCCAGGGAGACAGGTTGCAGGGAGACAAAAGGGAGGCCTGGTGAGTGCAGAGCAGGGAGAACAGGGAAGGGACATGAGTTCAAGGCAGGGGAAGAAGCAAAGGGAGAAGGGCATGGACAAGGGGCAGTGGACAGGAGAGCTGTCCTCTGATTGGCTGTGTTGTGCAAAGGACAGCTGAGGACTGGCCTCAGGTCCTGCGGACTCTCAGATCTGTCCCTGATTGGCTGCTACAGAGCTGTTTGCTGCCCTGAGCTCCTAATGTTGAACACAGAGAACAGCTGAGAGGCAGACAGAGGATCAGCATGGCTCCCACACTGACACTGGTTCTTCTCCTACAGGCCAGCAGACTAAAGCTGAAACCCCAGCCAGGTGAGCTGCTGTCATTCCAAGGAGCAGGTGAGGGGCTGCTTGAGGAAGTTTGTTATGAGAGGCATGAAAGGGAGCTAGAGAGATGGTTGAGTTAGAAACCCTTGCACACTGGTAGGAGGACCTGTGTCTCACTGGGAGAACCCACACTATAAACCAGGAGAGTGACTGAAATATGTAATTCCTCTTTGGACAAGAAAGAGACAGAAGCGTGGAGCTGTCTGTCCAGCTAGACTAGCAAAATTGCTGAGTTCCAAGTCAATGAGAGACTAGGTCATAAAAAAATAATGTGGATTCTTCAATGGGATAAATCAAGGTCGTGGCGTTTTCAAAGTTTATTTTTAATGAAGGGTTTGAAAATTACATATTAATGGACAAAAAAATGGGGAGGAGAGAGAGAGAGAGAGCTCTGTGGGAGAAGATGTCTGCAGCCAAGACCAATGACCTGTGTTCATTTGGGGGACCTAAATGGGGCAAATAGAAAACTGACTATGGAAATCTGTCCTCTCCTTCTTAGGCACAGCACTGTCTGTTAGTCCCCAACTACCAGAAAACCAGGGGCCAGCATCGCACACCAGGGGGGTGAGTTTGTATCAAAGTAGGATTTGCTGGCCACACATCCTGCATCTCAAGCCCATCCCTTACCATGGCCTGGGAATCAGAGAGCAGGGCTGCTGGCCTGTGCTGTGAAACATCTGTCCATGGACAGGATCAAAAGAGAACCCCACTCCTGCCATGTGCGCTCTGACTTCCTTTCCTCAGAACCCAGTCAATTTGTCTTCTCTGGTCCTGGGAACCAACTGTGCTGTTTCCTATCTGTCCATGGAATTAATAACACTTTTTAATAAATATTCTACTCCCCAGACTTGATCTCATGGCTCTCTTAGCGCTGCCCCCCCCCCAAGACCTTAGAGAGTAGCAGATTGTGTCCAGGAGCAGGGACACAGAGAGAAGCAGGTAACAAGGTCCACACTGAGAACCACTGCATGAGAACTCTGTTCCTCTCTCCCGTTCTCCCTGGACACTGACATCTCAGCCACAACCCTAGGCCCCTCCATGCCCCTCCTCAGGTGACAGACCATGGCTTGCTTGGGTCCCATGCTGTGCTTCCTTTCCTCACAGGCCATCTACAAACACTCACTTTCCTGATTTCCTACCCTGTGGATATTCTGTCCTCTGGGGTCTCCCATACTCCAAGATTTCCATCCCAAGACAAGGTTGTCTTAACGTTTGATAGTCAGTGGGTCAGCGTCTACCAAAGAGCATGCTGGGACACAACGACAGCATCCACACTGACCATTAAGAATGAAATCCAGGTTGCTCTCACAGCCAAAGGAGGTGCAAGGGCACTGTAGCAGTGTGACTGTAGTTGGCCCCCATATGCCCATAGGGAGTGGCACTATTCAGAGGCATAGCTTTGGTGGAGTAGGTGTGGCCTTGTTGGAGGAAATGTGTCGTTGCGGAGGTGGTCTCTCAGTTCTCCTATTCTCAGGGTAGATACAGTTCACTTCCTTTTGCCTGTGAATTCAGATGGATAACTGTCAGCACCTACTCCAGCACCATGTTTGCCAGCAGGCTACCATGACTGAGCTAGTCACCCCGCCACTCACTGGGCTTTGGACACAGTAAAGTGTCTCCTCTTGGGGCTCCCCTCTACAGAGGTGCAGGGAGGTGCTCACACTGAGGGTGGACAGCACAGAAGGAAGATGAAGATGATGATGTCATCCTTGGTGAGAAAGAAGGGTTCAGATGGGGGCTGAGCAACTGTGTTACTGTAATGTCCTAGCTGCAGCCTGAGTGTCCTGTCTACACCACAGGTCATCATCTTACCCTCTCTAGGATCCGCTCAACTCTCTCGGGACCCAGTCTGGGCAGCTACACTGGGTTCCTTCTGGGCACTCTTAGATGTCACTGGGGATAAAAATTCAAGGAATAGGAGAATGGATAGTGTGACAGATGGATGGACAGATGGACAGTTTTCATCTATGAGTTGTCTGCTGGGGTGGGGCCAATCTGCCCTTCAATGTGTTATTTGAGGGAAGTTTCTGGAATTGGATGGCTCCGGCAGAAGCAGGAAGGGTTGAGTCTATTCTCTGCCATCACTCTCATGGGAAAACACAGCTGGGTATAAAATCAGGGTCTGAATGCTGGGGACACGATCAGGAACTGGAGTCTGAGAGTCACAGAGGCTGGCCTGGGGAGGCCGTGTTTACTCAGGATGAGGACTGGGTAAACATGTGGGGCACATCAGCTATGGATGTCTCCCTGCATGACGTGTCTGTGCCTGTATTCAGCTGCACATGTGTGCATGTGTGAGCTCACCTATGTGGAGGCCAGCGGACAAACTCAGGTGTTACTACTCAGGACATATTCCATCTTGAATTTCTTTGTTTGTTTGCTTGGTTGGTTTTTATGAGACAAAATATACATACCCATTGCTGGGCTGGAACTTGATAAATAGACCAGGACAGCCTCAAACACACTGAGATCCACTCGTGTTTGCCCCTGACTCTGCCTCCCCAAAGCTGGAATTAAAGGCATGGACTACCATTCCTAGCCCACTTTAAGTTTTAACTTTTAATATTACACGTATTTATTCTGTGGATGCAGGGCACACCTGTACTACAGCCTGAGCAGCAGCTAGGTTCTAACACTGCAGTCTGACACTCCCCGTGGTCACCTGTATGCGAAAGCCCCATGTGTGCACCCCACAGCCCCAGGCCGCTCTTCCACAGAAAGTGCCCAGCCCCTATGAAAGTGTCATGGCTCCAGCGCCCAGTCCCTGCTGTCAGGGGAAATGTGGTTGTCACTGCAGGAGACTGATTACAGCATCCTGGACAGAAACCATCCCACAGCAGGGTCCTATGGGGATCAAACTGAGTCTAGGACTTGTAACAACAGAGCCCATGATTTGAGATTCAGGGGCCAGCAGGTGGCAGCAGTGAGGTTGAGCATCTATAGACCACACCAGAACCTGCTCTATAAAAATGCTGGACTTAGCCAGGCAGTAATGGCACATACGTTTAGTTCCAGCACTAGGGAGGCAGAGAGAGGTGGATCTCTGTGAATTCGAAGGCAGCCTGGTGGTCTACAGAGTAAATTCTAAGGCAGGTGCCAAAGCTACAGAGAAACCCTGTCTCAAAAATAAACAAACAAAAATGCTGGAGTCCAGCAGCTGACGTAGGTCAGGCCTAATGAGGGCAACCCCTGCTAGAGACTCTGCAATTGGGTGACTTTTACCCATAGATACCAGACAGTAGGGCAAGACCAGATGAAGCCTGGAAGTGAAGCTTGGTTCCTGCATCTGCACAGACATTTGGAGCCCTAGAACCCTGGACCTACAGGAGAAGGACTAGACCACGTATTTCTGTAAACACAACAGAGGCTTGTAGACTTGGTGGTTGATTGATGGGACCCAACTTCCCATCACCCATGGTGAGCCACCCTGGTTGTGGTTTGAGGCCTCTGGCTTCCCTGTTCCATTGATGTCACCTCAGGCTCCCAATCCCTTCTCCCCTTCCCCATTGTCACCTCTCCACACAGGCCCAAAGGCTCTTCAGAACAATGTCCCCATTTTCATGACATGGCTGCTGTGTCTTCTGATCCTGGCCACTCCTCGGTAGCAGAAGTAACTGCAGTCCCATGCACTGGGAGTACTGAGACCCGGCCTGGGCACTGTGTTGCTGTTACCCATGCTTCTTTCACAAGGTCCTGCAGGAGCTGGGACTCTAAGCTTCGCTGTTGCTCACAACCTTTCTCTGGCCGTGTTTACTCAAAATGAGGACTCGGTCAGAAGGTGTTGGATGATCAGCTGTGAGAGGTGCCTTGCATGATAGTGTATATGTGTGTAAGAGAGTGTGAGTGTGCACACATGTGTACACATGCATGCACACGCATGCAAGTTTATGCTCATGCATGTGGAGACTAGAGAGCAACACTCGGCTTTACTACTCCAGACACCGTATACCTTGGACATTTTGTTTTGTTAGTTGGTTTTGCTTATTTGTTTGTTTTGTTTATTCCTTTCTTATATTTTATCAATCTGGTTTTTATGGTTCTGTTGTGTTTTAGTTTGATTTGTTGAGACAAGGTCTCATTATGAAATCCTGGATGGAACTCAATACACTACCAGGCTAGATTCACGCTAACATGTCCACTTGCCTCTGAGTCCCAATGCTAGAAAGAAGGTGTGTGCCACCAAGGCACAAAGGGACACGATGGGGGTACACCTGTCACTCAGAACATGGGAGGGCAGAGAGGAGGTTCTGTAAGAGTTCAAATCATCCTTGGTTTCATAACAAGTACAAGGCTCAGCCTGGGCTGCATGAGACCCCATCCAATGGGGGGGGCTTTCTGACAGGGACAATAGGCCCAGTCCCCTCTCCTGACCGATGGTCCATTTCGGGCTAAATCATTCCAAAGGTTCTGTGCTCTGCATCTCCAAGGACTGGGTGACGGACACAGAAGTGCGTCCATGTGCAGCTGACAGCGAGGCCATGAGAATGAGGTCCATGACCATGAGAGCTCAGGTCAAGGGATCAGAGGACCATGGGGACTGTGAGGAAGGCAGAGAAAGCAGACATGACAGAGGGCGGCTGCATAGTCACCTGAGGAAAGCATGGAGAAGGCAGTCAATGTCAGGGAATCTAAGGGAATGGGAAGTCACCGCTGTCCACGTCACTCAGGGAGAATGATGCTACTTCCTCTAATACAATCATGTCTTCCTGCCCTTCAAGGAACTGAGAGCATCTTGCATGGGGAAGGGTGGGATGACCTCCTACAGAAGCAGCCCTTTGGCCACCACAGCCACTGCCCCCACATCTCACGACTGCTCTAATCATGGACCAGCTGTGTCCAGTCTCAGAGATGTCCCAGGCGATGTCATGAGTCACATATTGCTGCTCTGAGCCTTCTTTTCCCACTGCATCCAAAGAGGCTCTAGAACAGACAGAGCTAGAAGGAATCACTCAAGTGTTTTGTGGGAACAGCCTCCCTGGAGCATAGCAGCATTTCCATGTCTGTCAGCAGAGTTCAGAGACTGCACTGAGCAGGCAGCCAGAAGTCAGTGTGGAGTGGAGGAATACAAGAACTCGATGGTACTGAATTCCAGTCACCTGCCGTGTGGCAGTCATGTGACCTGTGCCAGTCTTCTCTGACCCTTGGTTTCCTCCTCTGAGTGTGTGTTAAGGGTGGTGGGAGGCAAAAAGGCTCATTCAGAAGCTGGAGTGGCTCTGGAGTCGCTGTCGAGGTGAAGCAGACAAGTCTATAACTTTCCCGGAAGCACAGGAATATTCCAGACTCAGCGGCAGCGAGCAGCCAGGGCGAGAGTGTCCACTGGGCCTTAGTTTTCCAGGGCTGCTGTGAGGAGTCCCTGACAGGCAGCAAGAGTGCAAAGAGCAGACGATGGTGGGGGCACCAAGCTAGGGCTGGGACTGAATGTGTTTCCTCATCACCTCCTGCCTCGCTATGTCTGGTGAGCAGAAAATGAACAATCCCTTAACAGTGATTATGAGAGAGAGAGAGAACCAACATGAGGGAGACATAAGAGACATAATGAGAAACAGACTGGGGGGAGGGCAGGAGTGGAGGAAATGGGAGCTGAGGAAACAGTGATTGCAGCTGCATAGGGAATGGGAAAGACTGGATGAGACAGGAGGTCAAGGTTGAAGAGAGGAGAGCCCGGCCTGCAGAGGTTAAGGCTGCATCTTCCAGAAAAAAAAAAATGGGGGCTGGGCTCAAGGCCCAAGGGTGGATCTTTTGCAACACGGGAAAGAAGAAGCCAGAATGATAAAGGAAGTTGCTGGCCACAAGGAGGTGGAGATGGGGAGGTCCTGCCCCCACTCAGTCCTCCACATGAGAAGACCCAGGGAATGTCGGTCACTTTACCTTGATTCTCTCCTAACTTCTGAGCACCCAGGGTTCCTCCACGGGGCCTCCTCTCCTTCCTGATGGCTCTGCTGGTCTCACTTCCCGGAGGAATTCCGGACATGGCTTCGGTCCTGCTTCTGCTGCTCCCAGCAGCCTGCCTGCAAGCTGGTGAGTGGTGGGAACCTCACTAGTGGTGACCTAATCACAGGAGGGGTGAGTGGGGCTGGGAAGAGTGGGCTGTCCTGTGGACAGGTGACTGCTAGAAGAACCAACCTGTCCTCTGAGCCACAAGATAGAGCTTATCTTCAGAGTGGGTCCAGCTCAACTCTTCCTGTCTATCCTGTCCCCTACTGGACAGTGGGACATGGGAAAAGTCCTTCTCTAGTCCTACTCCTGCCTGTAGTGGAGACTCGGGAAGCTCTGGGGTGTCCTTTCCATCCCCTGCAATGGTTTCAGATTCTTCCCCAACCTTCCCAGGGAACTCAGCAGGATCCAACAGAGTAAATACCTTTGGTGTCAACCAACCAGCACGCCTCTCTGGTGTGCAGGGCGGCTCCATCGAGATCCCCTTCTCCTTCTACTTCCCCTGGGAGTTGGCAAAGGATCCACAGATGAGGATTCTCTGGAGATGGCAGCACTTCCATGGGGAATATATCTACAACTCTTCCTCGGGTTTCATCCATGAGCATTTCAAGGACCGGCTCATCCTGAACTGGACACAGCCTCAGACATCCGGAGTCCTCAGAATCCTAGACTTGAAGGAGCAGGACCAGACAGTGTACATCTGCCGAGTTTATTTGAACACAAAACATGGCATAGAGCAGTGGCAGCCAATTGGTGGGACCCGACTCACCATCACCCGTAGAGAGGACATCCCAGGTCAGTCCTGTGTTCCTGGCTTTTTTATACCATAGATGTCATTGGAGATCTTACAAGTCTGATCCTTCCCAGATTCCTCTGGTGTGTTCTATCCACTCTCCAGAGCTCTACATTTCTTTTCCCCATAATCACCTGCAAGCCTTAGCATCTCTCTCAAAGCTACGCCCTCATTGTGCCCTCTACAGAAGGTGCCTTCTGGCCCCCATGTATACCCCTCCTCCTCTGGGTCCCTGCCCCAGTTTCTTTTTCCCCTCCCTCAGTTCCCTCTTCTCCCTCACGTTCTCACCATGACCAGGTCTTCTGGTCGCTTCCCCTCCGCTGTGGCAGCTGTGACTTCAGCCTCCACTCAGTCCCAGCCTAGTCACCGTGTAGGTGTTACCACGGCCACCTGTCACCACTGCTGGGCCCTCTCATGGTCATTATACAGGGAGAGAGACATGGAGACCAGCAGAATTCAACCCCTGCCCCAGGTCATGCTGGGGACCAAGAGACCCCACATGGACCATTTACCTCCAAGCGTCTCTCAACTATAGACACATGGCCTTTGCTGGAGTTCGCTCAATTTTTTGCCTCCTTCTATCTTGATTTTGTGGAGCATGTAAATATGGTGTAAGCAAATATGTATGTGTGTGCATGTGTGTCTTGTATGTTTGTGTGTGTGTACATATACCACATTTTTGTGCTTGGGAAGGCCAGAGTGAGGCACTGGGAATCCTCCTCTAGTAAGACCGACTTTATTCCCTTGAGGCAGGGTCTCTCACTGAACCTGGAGCTCACTGTTCTGGGCTAGGCTGAAGGGCTAAGAAGCTGCATTGATTCTCTTGTCCCCATCTCCTGTGGTGTTGAGGTTAAGGGGCTCACATGGCCTATCTTACAAAGAAAGTGTGTGATATCTCAGGAAAGAACACCTAAGGTAGGAACCTGGAAGAGGAACTGATGCAGAAGCCGTGGAGGAGGGCTGCTTACTGGTTTGCGTTCTGGGCTTGCTCAGCCTGCTTTGATTAAGGCATCCAGGACCACCATTCCAGACATGGTACCATCAGAGTGAGCTGGACCCTCCCACATCAATCAAATAAAGAAAATGTCCTTCAGACTTGCCTATGGGCAATCTGATGGAGGCATTTTCTCAGCTGCGGTTCCCTTCCCAGATAACTACAGCTTTGTCAAATTGACACAATAACTAACCAGGGCACAGGGCAAGTGCTTTCTGGACTGAGCCATCTCCACAGTTGCTGACCTGCCTTTTCTCCTCTCGGGACTACACTTTCTTAGTGACTCTAACCTTATCCATGACAGTGGCTGATGGGACTCTTTCCTTCTCAGTCATTACTCAACCACTGTGTTTCCAACAACTGTGTTTTTTGTTTTGTTATTTTGGGACATTTTGGGAAAGAAGGTAGTATATAAGTATAGATATATACATGTTTGCCTACACTTCCTGTTAAGATTGGGGCAACAAGGGAAATTCTTTATATAAAAAATCCTGGAACTGAATAGTAATGATGGCTGCTCTGGCTCCACAAAATGGATGCACTGTAAGCCACTGGACCACATAATGCTAAATTCAAATGTACATTACATACATTTATACTTGAGGTAGGGTCTCACTACGTAGCCCGAGCTGGCCCAAAACTTGCTATGTAGACTACACTGACCTAGAAATCACAGAGATCTGCAGGTCTCTGCCTCCTCTCGAATGCTGGGATTAGAGGTTGCTCCACCAGTGAGATAAGAACTGTTTTTTAAGTCGGGAGGTGCAAACCTGTGATCCCAGTGGAAGGTGGAGGCAAAGAGATCAGGAGTCTAAGGTCATTAGCTACACAGCAAATGCAAGGTCAGTCTGGGCTACATGGACTCCATCTATAAATAAATGTTAAGAGCAGTGGCGTTGTGATTGTGAGGACCAAAGTTCAAATCCCATCACCCACGGAGGAAGCTGGGTGTCCCTGCATATGCTGTGACACCAAGGAGGTGGAGGCAGGAGGATTGCAGAGTTTGTTGGATTTCAGTCTAGCTGATGCTTGAGCCCCCATTTCACAGAGAGAAGCTGCCCCCGAGGAAGAGATGGAGAATGTTATAAGAGGACACAGAAGCCTCTTCTGTCCACACATGCATGTTCAGGTGCACATCTCTATCCTCTGTGTATGTGTGTGTGCGCTCACGTGCTTGTGTGTATAGGTGCATGTAGCGACACTCAGCATACACATACTACATACACATTAAACAAATGGCAGAAAGATTTTAGTTGTATTTGATTAAATATTTCATACAATTTACAATGTATTTTCATATCTACATCAAAAAAGCAGCAACTTGTGCAATAGGTTGTTACCATCTACCTGTGGTGGGCAACCAAGAGCAATGCCAATAGTCTGTGTGGGATTGGGGGCTCTGAACCACACTCACTGATAAGGCACAGGGAGGCAAGCCTTGCCTGGCACTGAGAATTTGTTCAATAACTCACGTCTAAGGAGCAGCCTTGTCCACCCTGGCAGGCTACTTCTGTTCTAACAAGGATTGTTACTAGAAAATGACTGTTTGATCTGTGTGACTTAGAGATTGATCCTTGTTAGGGATGAAATGAACGTCTGAGGACATTCCTACCAGGAAATAGAGTTGTCATTTTCACCCAATTCTCAGCCTCAGCATCTGTTCCCTTCTTCCTGTGTGAGCTTCTAAGAGCTACTCCCCATCCCGCATCCCTCAATGGAGACGAGATACCAGACAATGCAGTTCTATGATCTAGGTCTGGAGTTAGACTTATTGCTCTAAGCAAAGAAAACAGCTAGGCCTCTCTTAGATTATTGCTTTTGGGCTATGCTGTCATCACTCGTTGTGATCCTGATGTTGTGGGTCTTTCTCTGGGTTGCAGTTAATTATTTCTCCTGCTGCCCTTGAGAGTCCTGAACTAAATTCATCAGTTAACTGAGGTGAAGGTGAGCTTAGGAGGTAAGAATCTTTTATGTGGGGTAAAACAAGAGCAGCAGCTTGGGCAGGTGATGCTCTATGTCTGGACCCTAAGCCCTGACCAAATGCCTGCTGATAAAGACAATTGCAGGAAGGCAGATCTCTGCGCTTACCTAAGAGAGAGGAACAGGCCTGGCAGTGGGAAACTGTTCTGAACTAGGGAATTAACTCCCAAATATGTAACAGGAGGGAAGCCAGCTACAGCGAAAAATCTACAGCAAAGGACAGCCACTTTATTCACAATGCAAGAATGCAAAAGCCTTGCCTTTGGGTTTAGCCCTTAGGGGATCCCTTGGTTCTGATAAGTCTCTCCTGAAAAGATGATTGGGCAATTACTCTATGATGTCACAGCCTCCCAGCGCTCAGCTTGACCAGATTGGAGGAGAAACAAGAAGGTCCAGTGACAACCCCCAACTCTGTATTTAGGATTTGACCCATCCTGACCTGAGGTTTAGGACTAAATAGAAGACAAGACACAAGCACAGCTAAGCAGTCCCAGGTCCCGTGTGGCCCCGCCCACAGTGAGCCATCATCCTCTGTCTCCAGTCTCTCCTGCAAGGTGATCTGAGGAGCTGTCAGAACTGTGTGAACTCTCTTTCTGGGAGATCAGTTCTTTACTGGCTGGCTCCAAGCTTTGCCTTTTCCTTCTCCCAGCTTGAGACTCCTTGGGTGATTCCAGTTCCTTGGAGTCCCTTGCTTCAGTGTCTGATAGCAAAGAGTGCTGCAGAGGCTTCTCTAGAATCTTCACTCCTACTGGGGAAGTTCATGCTGATTTCCTTCATCTCTTCCCAGCCCCCAGGACCACCTCTGCAAGCCCCACCACTGCAACTTCTGCACACACCAAAAATACCCTCACGTCCACAGAAAGTCAGATGAGCGAAGAAAGTCAGACCCTGGATCTGGGAACCAGTGTTGGGGTGGCAGTGGCTGCTGCTGTACTCCTGGCTGGGGTTTTGGGATTGATGGTGTTCCTCAGGTGGAAGAGGAGGAAAGGTGAGTGTCCAGACTGCATCCCCATCACACTTCCTGAATGTTTCCACAGGAAAATCTGCACCAGAGTCATCGAAGGGGATGGTTGACAGCTCAGATCCTAGGGCTCAGGTGATGGCTCAGTCAGTAAAGTACTTGCCGCGCAAGCTTGAGGATCTGTCACCACAATCCTTATAGTCCCAGTGCTGAGCAGGGGGGACAAGATCATCCCCGAGGCTGATGACTAGTCACACTAGCCTAATTGTTGGGCTTCGGTTCCCAGTGAGAGACCCTGTCTTTAAAAACAGCAAAGTGGACAGCTTTTGAGGAGTTAAGGGTGGCTTCCTGCCTCCCCAGGGCAGATCCCTGATGACCTCCTGAGTCCAGAGTCAGGCTCTGAGGCTTCTGCTTAGAGTAGCTGGGGTCTTTTGTTGCTGTTGTTTCAGTTTGGTTGACTGCAGGCCTGCACTGCTAACCCCACTAGGAATCTGCTTTAAGCTGGTTCTCCAAGTGAGACCTCTGAGGGTTCAGTTTGTGAACCTCACAGTCCAGTCCAAACTCAGTTCTTCTCTGTTGACTCAGCCATTTCGTCATCAGAGGACAAAGGGCCTGCCCAGGAGGAGCCAGGGAAAGGGAAAGCAGAAGGGATTGGATTGTTATTTTAGAAGGAGCTGTGGTGTTGACAGACATGGTCAGAGGAGAGACGGGAGAATAGAGGAGCTCTCAAAGGAAGAAAAATTACATACAGTGTCAAAGAATAAATAATGACAGCCAGAGGCAGTGAGGTGGCTCAGGACGTCAAGACACTGGAAATTCTAAAACACACAGGGCATAAGGAAAGAACTCGGTCCTGTATGTTGTCCTCTGACATACACATACCATAGCCTGTGCACATTCACATACATGGTGAACATATATATATAACACAATTAAGAATAAAAACAATGACTGCCACTGTGGTCCACACCTCAGTCTGTGCACCTGGGAGGGGGGTGGCAGGAGGATCATGACTCCATGAAAATTCATCTCAACTTCTCCCTCTCCTGTCAACAGAATAGTCCGGTAATTGCTGAGAGTCATGTAGGACACTCTCTGGCCTTCTAGGAAAAAAATACCATGTCAGGAACTCTTGAGTAGTGTGGTGCTGGTGGAGGAAGCAGGAGATGACAGGGAGAACCTTGTAAGTCAGGTCCCAAGCATCTAATAACAGAGGCAAAGGGATGGGCAAAGGGAGACCAGCTTCTGGAACAGGAGCAGCAGAAGAGAAGAGAGAGGCAGAGAGAGACAGAGACAGAGACAGAGAGCAGGGCAGAGAAACAGAAAGAGAGAGAGAAAAGAAGAGATGGGAGATGAGCAAGGCCCACTTTATAAACGGGAACTTAGCCAAGGTACACAGGAGAACTTGTTAGTGGTTGCACTGAGAACATATCCTGTCTGAACCTCAGGGGCCATTACAGATGCCTGAATAATAACAGTGATGTTGTTGAATGACAGAGGAAGTGGGTGAGTAGGAAAAATCTCATTCTGAAAATGGAAAAATTAATTAAGATGTCTATATTAGGTGGTTGGAGAGATGGCTCAGTGGTTAAGAGCACTGGATACTGTTGGGGGAAGGGTCGCTTCTTCATCCCGACTGCCTAGTCATGAAAACCACTCAAAAAACATATTATTTTCAATACTGTTTGGCCAATAGCTTAAGCATATTTCTGGCAAAACTCATATCCTAAACTAACCCATCTCTATTATTCTGTATATCACCACATGATTGTGGCTTACCAGATAAAATTCCCAGTGTCGGCCTCAGGTGGAGGATTCGTGGCTTCTCTCTGACTCTGCCCTTCTTCCTACCAGCCTTCAGTCCAATCCTCCCTGCCTAGCTCTGCTCCGCCCCTCCCTGCTCTGCTATAGGCTCAAAGCAGTTTCTTTATTCACAGTAATCACAGCATACAGAGGGAAATCCCACATCAACTCCCCATTTCTATTTAAATAAAAAGGAAGGCTTTAACTTTTAACATAGTAAAATGACATATAACAAAACAGGTATCAAGCAAGAATTACAGTTACAATATTTATATCTATTTTATCTTTTATCATAATTAAGGAAAACTATAACTATAACCATTTATTCTTCAACTCAATCAAAGTGTCCAGAAGGTTACCATATTATGTAAGTCAGCAGGAAGTACATTGTAAGCAACTGCCAAAACTCTAGAATTGACATAGACATCTCACTGCTTGAACAGTCACCCAAAGTTCTTCTGTATCATTGGAGCATCCATCTTTAGCCTACAGGCCCATAGTAACCAGCAGACTCTTTTACAAAGCAGGAAATTTCAAAGACAGTTCCACCTATGCTGGCAGTTTGTCCATCATATTTGTGTGTGTGTGTGTGTGTGTGTGTGTGTGTGTGTGCGTGTGTGTGTGTCCTGCAGAATGTCTAGCAGACTCATTCATGATGCAGGAACCCTGAAGGATTATCTCACCTTTAGGCAAGTTTAGCAGTCATTTCTCTGTGGGTCCATCATATCCAGTTTATAAAGCAGTCCAGGCAAGAGCAGTTTCTTGCCATATGGTCAACTGACTCCGTAAGGAGCCTCTTCAATGCCCATCATCTCTTGAAGTAGCTTGGTGTTGCCAGGAGCAGATATATCTCACACTCATAAAAAGTCTTAAGTTCTTAAACATTTTAAATGCCATATTCTGAAGGTCTCTGAAAGATTTGAAGAATACCTATCTACGTGAAATATATCTCTATACATCTAGAAAATCTAACTAACACGACTACAAGCTTGACTATTATAGATGATTATCTATTAACCTTTATTCTTAATTATACATTACATTTTTAAATGAACTACCCAATCACAATACCTTAAGCAAGAACAGAAATATATATATGTGTAACACAATTGATCTTAAATTTCTATCAATAACTAAGATCCATACCAATGCAAATCTCTATAGCAGGATACTCTTGCAGAGGACTGAGGTTTGATTCCCAGCACCCACACGATGGCTCACAGGCTCCTGTAACTCCTGTTCCAGGGGATCTGACGCCCTCCTCTGACTGCCACAGGGACCAGGAACACTCATGGCAAACACAAACAGGCAAACATTCACACAATAAAAATAATTAAAGATTTTTTTAAAAAGGTGTTTATACAACAAAAATTGAATTCAATACAATTCCCATCTAAATGACAATGATAGTTAGGCAAAAACAGCTTATCCTCTGCAATTCAGATGCCTTCTCAAAGACAAAACAAGACAAAATGAGATAAACAACAACAGAAATGAAATGATCGATAATGGAGCACTCCACTGCCTGATCCCAGAGTTTATTCAAAGTTGCAATAGGAGGCTGGAGGGATGGCTCAGCAGTTAAGAGCACTGAATGCTCTTGCAGAGAACCTGAGTTTACTCCCAGCACCCACACCAGGCAGTTTACAACCGCCTGTAACTCCATTTCTAGGCTTATCAGGAGCTCTTTCATGAATCCACAGACATCTGCTCTCATGTGCATCTACCCTAAAACAGACATACAAAATTTAAAATTCTAGAAAAAAATACAGTAGGTAAAGCAGTATGAAATAAATTACAAAGATAAAAGGCTAGACTAGCCCTCCGAGGGTAAAAAGTTTCAGTGTCCACTCCTGTGAACCAGATGATGGAGGGAAGCAACACCTACAAGATGCCCTCCACCTCCACACAAACTGTGGCACAGCCCCAGCCCCATAATAAATGAGTGACAATAAAACGCTATAGTAATTAAAACAGCACGGTATGCACCAAGACACATAGACAAGTAGAGTAAATTACAATCCAGGAGGAGGCGGTTCCTAAGGGCACAAAAAGGAAAAGGGGAGAACACAGAGTAGACAAGCAGGTGCAGGGTCAGGGGGAACTCAAGGTTGGTGAAGGAACAAAGGAGACAGGGGTGGGGCCTGGACCTGGCAGGGATTTGGGGGAGGGGTTGCTGTGTGGGACAGCAGCCCAGCAGAGGTAGTCCAGGCTCTTCTCTGGCTGTCTGGGGTGGTCTCTTTGCTCCCCTGTCCTCTGAAGGTTCTGAACATAGAGGACAGCTGAGGGGCAGATGGACGATCAGCACGGATGTCACACTGACACTGTTTCTTCCCCCACAGGCCAGAGGACTGAAGCTGAAACCCCAGCCAGGTGAGCGTCATCCTGTCCTCTGCAGGAGCAGCCAGTGCTCTTGCCCACTGAGCCATCTCTCCAGCCCCTTCAAATGGCATTAGAAGAACAATGGAGAACCACACACAGGGCTCTGCACATCTCCCCTCCCCTGACTCATCCTGTCTGCTTCCTTCATGTCCTCCATGACGCCATGCTCTTCAGGGCCACCAGCTTCACACACTGACAAGGGGTGCAGCAGAGTCTCAGGGAGTCTCCTTCCAGAACAGCCCCCACCCCAGGCCTCATGGGGTCTTTCTCCTTCTCTCCTTCCATTGCCTAGGCTTCCCTCTCTGTGGCTCTGGATCCTCTCAGCCTTGAACATCGGCCTGGATTCCACCAGCTCTCCCATCTTTCCCTTTCTTCCCTCTGTCGTTCTCTGTGGTCAGTGAGCCCCGCTCCCCAGGAATCCTTTGTTCTAGGTCTTCCACATCTTTTGCCCTTTTCTCTTCACCTCCCAACCTCTCTGCCCTTCTCTCCTGTCTTTTCTTTTCCTTACTGCACATGGCCTGCTCTGAGCCTTCTAATTTTTTTCTGAGAAAGGGTCTCAGATTGGCCTGGCTGGCCTTGAACTCACTGTGAAGCCAAGGATGACCTTGAACTTCTGATCTTTTCACCTCCACCTCCCAACTGTTGGAATGACAGGCATCACACCACACCCGGTTTATGAGGGGCTGGAGATGGAATCCAGGACCTTGTCAATTAACACAAGCACTCTGAGAGCAACACTGCATCCCCAGCTCCTCCCTCTTTCCTCTCCCTGTGGCTTCTTCGGCCAGATGCCCTTCCTCCAGTCTGATCTCAGGTCCCTTCTTCCGTGAACTTAGCCTGAGCACCTACCCAGTAGATCTGAAACTTTCTTGCCTTCTAGTTTTAATCAAGGTGATGAAAGAGGATACTGTTAGAGTGTGTGTGTGTGTGTGTGTGTGTGTGTGTGTGTGTGCATAAGTGTGTGTGTTCTCAGGAGTTTTATAGTCATACCTTTTAAATGATTATTTTTATTCCATTTGACTTATTTGTGTGCATGTGTATGTGGATATGAGTTTCACATGGCACACACGTGGAAGACGAAGGACACCTTCTGAAAGTTGTCTTTCCTTCTACATGTGGCTCCCTAAGATGAGACCAGGTTGTCAGTCTCCTCCCCCCCCCCCCCCACACACACCTGCTTCTCTCTCTTCGTTTTTCAAGACAGGGATTGTCTGTAGCTTGATGCCTGTCGTGTAACTCTCTCTAATAGCAAAAGCTGGCCTCAAACTCACTGAGATCCGTCTGCCTCTGCCTCCTAAATGCTGGGAATATAGGCGTGTCCACCACAGTCTGGCTCGGGTTGTCAGTCTTAACCGTATGGCCTTACCTCCTAAGTCATTTCACCAGACCCCACTTGGGTTTTGGGTTTTTGTTGTTGTTATTGTTTGGGTTTTTGTATTATTTGTTTTGAGACAGGGTCTCACACTGGTTTGGAACTCGTCAACTAGACCTGGATAGATGACCAGTGAACATCAGGAGTTCCTCTGTCTCCACTTCCTGAGCACTGAGAAGACAAGCATGCACTACCACCATGCCCAGTCCTGTGTGTGTTATTACATATTTCTGTGTGTGTGTAGGTGCAGTGTCCTGGAACTCACTTTGTAGACCAAGTTGGCCTCAGACTAACAGAGAATCACCTGCCTATACTTCCTGAGTGCTAGATTCAAAGGCATGCACCACTATTGCCTGGCTGTGCCAAGCATTTTTAACATGAGTTTTTGGGGATCTAAATTTGGGTCTTCAAGTTTGGGAAGCAGGCCCTTAGGCAACTGAACCATCTCTCCAGCCTCCACTTCATCTTCTGAGACAGGGTCTTTCACTGAATCTAGAGCTCATCTGTTAGTCCAGGATGGCCTGTGAACTCCAGGGACTTCTCTGCCTGTCTCTGCTTCTCCAGAATCCAGTTTTATGTGGGTGCCGGGGTCTGAGGTCAGGACGTCATGTTTATGTGACAAGTACTTTATTAACTGGGCCATCTCTCCAGCCCAGCACCTAATGTCTTAATTCTTTCTTGCCCAGCCTCTAATCTGTTGCCCATCTTGTTCTCATGCAGGGAACTCATTGAAATTGAGAAATGTGAGCAAGTTGAGCCCAAAGGTAAATTCTGCCAGCTTCCTGCCTTCTTCTCCGAAGACCCCACACTTAGACAAACATTCCCTCAGTGTTTTCACCTGTCCCTCCCTCACCCTGTCCCTTCCTCACTCTGTCCCTCCCTCACCCTGTCCCTCCTTCCCCCTGTCCCTCCCTCACCCTGTCCCTCCCATGGAACCAAGGTCCTCACCTCATGCTTAGAACTCCCAGCCATCTGTCTCCCTTCCCGTCACACACCTTGACTTCAACACTCCATGTTTCTTTTTCTCTAGGACGATATAAGGACCCCAATGAGAACCCCAAGGTAAGCAATTCAGACTCAGGTCTGAAGGAGTTAAGGGGTCTTGATGGAGGCAGAAGGTTGGAGGTCAGAGGTGTGGGGGGACAGTCAGGCTGCAGCTGCTGCTTTATGGAGCCTCAGCTGCACTGCTGCTATCTAATGCCCTGTCCCCACCCCTGCAGGACAACAACATCGTGTATGCCTCCATTGCCCTCTCAAGCCCGACCTCCCCAGGAACACCAGCCTGCCCGCCTGTCCATGAGAACCCCCAGGAAGAGACTGTATACTCCACCGTGAAGACCAAATGAGCGGGTCTGGGTGACCATCTCGGAGTCACCTGTGCTTCTAGTAGGAAGACTCCCAGCTTCCTCTGATACCACAGTCAGACGCTCACGGGTCACAGATACCCGTGGCCAGGACGGAAATTCAGAGTCAGGGATTTGAACTTAGAGAAACTGAGAAACGCATTTTCCTGTTTTAGCTTCTAGGCCTTTTTCATACAAATAAACAGATCCACAGAATTTGTCTAAATAAATTTAATTAAGGGTCACTAGTAGTGGGCCCTCTTAGACTCCCCCTCTATCACTTTTTTCTAACTGCGCAAGGCAGGGGATGCTTCAAAAGCTGGCAGCTGTCCACACGATGTACACCCACATCTGTGAGTGTAGTGACCAGCACACACTGACTGTGACTGGTCCCCATGCACCACCGCACAGGACATCAGCAATAGTCCTAGAGAGATGGCGTGAGACAGGGAACTGAACACCAGATGGTCACGGTGCTTTCCAAAGGTCAAGTAACTCCCAGGAAGGAGAGCCAGGACTCACAGACACACTATCCTGAAGGTTCCCCAGGTCTGGGTCTCGCTGCTGTCCCCAGCCTCCTGTCCCCTCCAGAGCAGGCATTCTGCCATAGAGATAGGAAAGGAAGCACACCTCAGCAGTAGCCCAGAGACCTGCTTTATTGACGTGGGCTGCACAGCTCTGACTAGAACCACTTGGCGGTCAACAACCCTGACATTCATCAGCTTCTCAAGAACACTGAGAGACAGACAACAGTAGGAGAACCAGTACACACTACTCCTCAAAAAGGGCCTCCAGGAACTCCTCAGAGCCGTCCCTCTGCTGCAAGTCCCCCCTCTCCTCTGGCCCTCCAATGTCTTCCATGAGTTGCTCCAAGTCCAGGTCACTGGAACCATCATCTTCAGGGGGAAAACTTGCTGCCTCCTGTGTCAGGGGCTCCTGAGGTCCAGGACCTTCCTTTCCCAAAGCAAGCCCCATATCAAGCTGGTGGGGTAGAGCACTCTGATGCAATTTTAATTCCTTCTCTTCAGGGAAGTTGCTAGCTGAGGCCTTGCTTTCAGGAGTCTTAAATTTCTTTAGGGCCAAAGAGAACAAAGGACAAAGTTGAGAGTCCCTTTAAGTCAGCCTGTCCTGACGTCTTACCACCCAGATTTCTGAATTCTTATGTTTAAAGCATCTGAAAGGATAATCACATATGGGAAGTGCCCGGCTTTTCAAAGGGCTCAGCCTTCCAAAGATTAAGAGGAGGAACTGAGAGGTGGGAGAACCAGGTTCCAGAGAGTCAAAAGGGAGGCCTCGTGAGTGCAGAGCAGGGAGAGCAGGGAGGGGGACATGAGTTCAAGGCAGGGGAAGGAAGCAAAGGGAGAAGGACATGGACAAGGGGCAGTGGACAGGAGAGCTGTCCTCTGATTAGCTGTGCTGTGCAGAAGGGCAGCTGAGGACTGGCCTCAAGTCCTGGTGACTCTCAGTCCTGTCCCTGATTGGCTGCTGCAGAACTGTTTTCTGCCCTGGGCCCCTAATGTTGACTGAACACAGAGAACAGCTGAGAGGCAGATGGAGGATCAGCATGGCTGCCACACTGACACTGGTTCTTCTCCTACAGGCCAGCAGACTAAAGCCAAACCCCAGCTATATAAGTGCCTGTTCTCCCAAGGACCCTGTGAGGGGCTGTGTAGGGGTTTGAATAAGAGTTACAGGCTCAAGGATTGGTAGGCTTTCTCACCAGGGTGTGGCTCATAGGATGTGTGGCCTTTTTGGAGTAAGTGTGGCCTTGTTGGAGTAGGAAGGGCAGTGATAGCAGAAGTAGGTCACTGGGTGGGAATGGGATTTGGTATTGCAAAAGCTCAAGCTTGGTCCAGTGTCTCTCTCTCCACTGCCTGTCAATGTGGATGTAGAATTCTTAGCTACTTCTCCCGCACCAAGTCTGCCTGCATGACTCTGTGCTTCCTGCCATGATGATAATGGACTATACTTTGAAACAGTAAGCCAGCCCCAATTAAATAAATGTTTTCCATTATAAGAGTTGTCATGGTCATGGTGTCCGTTTACAGCAACAGAACTTTGACTAACACAGGTGGCTGGGGAGGTTTGTTGTAAGACACATGCAATGGAGCTGAGGAGATGATTCAGTCAGTAAAGCATTGGCCACACAGGCATCAGGACCTGTGTTTGACAGGATAAATTGACAGATGGACAGTTTCATCAAGGAGGTTATCCAAAAGGTCAGGGCACACAGGGCTTGCACTGTGTGTTATTTAAGGGAAGTTTCTGGAATAGAATTATTCTGACAGACACAGGAAGGTTGAGCCTGTTCTCTGCCACCACTGTCATGGAAAACACAGCTGGGTATAAAATCAGAGTCTGAATGCTAGGACACTATCAGGGACTGGATACTGAAGAGTCACAGAGGCTACCCTGGGGAGGTCATGCTTACTGAGGATGAGGACTGGATATACACGTGGTGCAGAACCACAGTGTAAGGTGACTTGAGTGATTTGTATGTGTCTTTGTACAGGTGTGTGTGGGTGCAACTAAGTATGTGCTCATGTATGTAGAGGTCAGGGGTCAACCTGAGGCAATACTACTCAGGGCACCATCTACTTTTGTGATTTTTTCAGACTTTTGTTTCTTTGTTTGTTTGAAATTTAGATTTTTTTATTTGTTTTTGTTGTTGTTTTGTTTGTTTAATTTGTGTGTGTGTGTTTGAGTGAGTGAGTGAAGGGAGAGACAGAGACAGAGATAAGAGAGACAAAGAGAAAAAGAGAGATTCATTCCATAAATTCTGTGATTCTTTAGAATCCTGATCCACATACAGCTGTGGGTGAAAGAGGAATGATGTTGCAGAAGACTGATTACAGCATCCTGGACAGAAATCACATCCTACAGCAGTGTCCTTAGAGGGATTCATCTGTCTAGGAGTTGAAATTAGAACAGAGTCCATGATTTGGTTTTAGGAACCAGCAGGTGGCAGCAGTGAGGCCGAGCACATGAAGCCTCTGGGACCCTGTGGATCCCAACAGAGTCAATGAGTAAAAATCCCTGTGCTTAAACAGTTGACTATGTCAGGTCTAGTGAAATCAGTGCCTCCTTGGGTGACTTAGCAATCGGGTGACCTTTCCCACAGACCCCAGACAGTAGGGCAAGGGCACATGAAGTCTGGAGATGAGTATCATGACCATGAGGGCCCCTTTCAGACCCCACTGAGGCTAAAGACAAGATTCATCTGGTAGAGAGCTTACCTGCCTGGCATGCACAGAACCCTAGGTTCTATCTCCAGCAGGAGAAAAACGGGCACAATATGTGCACACCTGTCACCCAGCACTGGGAAGAGCAGAGAGGAGGATCTGTAGGAGTTATATAACAAGTTCAAGGCCCAGCCTGGGCTAAAGGAAACCCCATTCAATAAAGGGAGCAGCTTTTAGACAGGTACAGTAGGGCCTGTCCACTCTCATTACTAACTATCTGGAGTCAACTCATCCCAAAGATGCTGTGCCTCTTCGTCTTCAAGGGCAGGATGAATGGATAAAAAAGTGTTTCCTGTGGGCCAATGGAATTGAATTGATGACCCTGACATATATGAACCCCTGATGCTGGACAAAGAAGCCAAAATAAAACAATGGGGAAAAGATTGCATCTTCAACAAATGGTGCTGGCAGAACCGTGTGTTGACATGTAGAAGAATTCAATTAGATGCATATCTATTGTCATGGACAAAACTCAAGTCCAAGTAGATCAAAGACCTCACATAAATCCAGTTTCTCTACTTCTAATAGAAGAGGAAGTGGGAAGGAGCCTTGAATGCATGGGCACAGAAGGCCACTTTCTAAATATAACGCTGGTACCACAGACACTGAGAGCAACAATCAATAAGTGTAACCTCCTGAACCTGAGAAGCTTCTGTAAGGCAAAGAGCATGGTCAATAAAACAAAACGGCAGCCTACAGAATAGGAAAAGATCTTCATTAACCCACATGTGACAGAGGCTGATCTCCAAAATATATAAGAAACTCAAGAAACTAGACATCAAAATACCAAATAATCCAATTTAAAAATTGTGTAAAACAATTCTGAGATTCCATCTTACACCTATAAGAATGGCCAAGATCAAAAGTACTTATGACAACTTATGCTGGAAAAGCTGTTGGGTAAAGGGAACTCTCCTGCATTGCTGGTGGGAATGCAAGCTGGTACAGCCCCTTTGCATGTCAGTATGGTGATTTCTCAGAAAATTAGGAAACAATCTTCCTCAAGACCTAGCAATACCACTTTTGGGTATACACCCAAAGGATGCTCAATTATACCACAAGGACATGTGCTCAACTATGTTCATAACAGCATTGTTTGTCATAGCCAGAACCTGGAAACAACCTAGATGCCCCTCAACTGAAGAATTGGTAAGGAAGAGGTGGTACATTTACACAATAGATTACTACACAGCAGAACAAAAAATAATGACATCTTGAAATTTGAGGGCAAATGAATGGATCTAGAAGACATTTATACTGAGTGAGATAACCCAGATCCAGAAAGCCAAATGTCATATTTAGTCACTCAAAGTGACTTTTAGACAAAAAGCAAAAGAAAACCAGCCTACAATTCAGAATCCAAGAGAACCTAGATAACAAAGAGGACCCTAAGAGAGAAATACATGAATGTAATCTACATGGGAAGTAGAAAAAGACAAGTTTTCATGAGTAAATTGGGAGCATGGGGACCATGGGAGAGGGTAGAAGGGGAGGGGAGAGGAAGGCACGGAAGCAGAGAAAAATATATAGCTTAATAAAAACAATTAAAAATAAAAAATGCGGTACAGATCTAAAGAGATAATTCACAACAGAAGAATCTCAAATGCTGAAACATACTGAAGGAATTGTTTAACATTCTTAGTCATTAGGGAAATGCAAATCAGAATGACTCTGAGATACCATCTTACACCTGACAGAATGACTAAGACCAAAAAAAAAAAAAAAAACTAATGAAAGCTTATGTTAGAGAGGATGTGGAGTAGGGAATATTCCACAACTGCTGTTGGGAGCGCAAACATACCACAAGGACACTTGTGGTTGTTCAATCATACCATAAGGACACT